TACAGGCGGGCAGATGGATGACAAACAAAATGTGATCAGAAAACCAGAAAAACTCAAGTGAGCTAAAAACTGATGATCACAAGTACTTGGAAAGAGTTACAGTATTTGAAAAGCAGTTTTGTTTTCAGAAGCTGAAAATGTATGACTTGTATCCATGTTGAAAAAATTTCACATTTCAGAAAACAGTATGATTAAAAATAGTTAATCAAGGTGCTTTGAGTAGCAAAATAAGCTAAACTGGTATAGCTAATTCAACCAGAGAGCTTAGTGAATTTTAAAATGCACAACCTTTTCAACTCTTAATCATTCTTAAAATATTTATATCATCATTTCTGATTCAAGGGAGAACTAGAGATATGATCAGAAGTATATCTGTTGACTAATAAACATGTACATGTATATTGTGTTTTTTAAGTCATTAATGTTTGTTTGTCGTTAAATGTCCCTCTTGGGAATTTTTCACTCATACGGAGACACCACCACTTAAAAATAATGAAGACGTACAAGTCGGATTTGAGGTTAACATTCATTTTAGGAATTTTCAACAATTAAGACATAAAGAGATAACTCCTTCCCCTTGCCCCTTCCCCTTCCCAGACCCCTGTTTGTTCATGTATGCTAACTAGTCTAATACTTTGGTTTGACATAAAAAAAAATGTGAATATATACAAATAGTTTAATGGTCCATCTCTTTGAATGATTTTCATTCCTAATTCTAGGAGGGTACATGGGTTGACCCAAATTCATGAATGAAATGTCAAGTAATCTTTTCATTGATGCACTTTTATTTAATTTGATGTAGTCATATTATGAACATTTCCAGTTCATTAAGAGAGTGGGGATGACCTCCAGGGGTTCATAACCTTAAACCATTAGATGTACATAACATAATAACACAAGAAACAAAATTATGTATAGTCAAATGGAAAAGTTTTCTACTATTTAGGAGTCACATGATCATTTGTCATTTCAGGGACAGGGAGCGACTAGGGAGATTGGACCCCCCCCCCCCCCCTTGGAATTTGCAGAGTTATTTAAAAAGGACTATATACCGATTTACAGAAGCAAATAAAAAATGACTTTGGATGCCCTCCCCCTTTAAAAACATGGACCCCACCATCATTGTTTTTATTTTGTTCGTTTGTTTTTTGTTTTTTTTTTTGCTCCTCAGGAAATTCTGGGCTGGAATTTTTTTGGACCGAGGTGTGGACCCCCCCCCCCCCCCCCCCCCCCCCCGGAAAAAAATTCCCGGATCTGTGCCTGTAACTGAATGTAATGTCGACAACGGGAGATAACTCTTCAGAATGTGAAATTCGTCTATTGTGGCATCCGATGATCCACTCTCTACCATCGGCTCATACATTCAGTGTCAGAGAGAAACGAACGACAACTCTGCATGGGAGATTGCCGATGATCTTTGATCCTTTTTAATCTTTAACCTAACCATTTGCATTTCGGTTTATTTTACCCCAATCTGTACTTAAACTTGTACTTACCGACTGTCATAGGTCCTGTCAACTTCATGAAATATAATCCAATTAAAACACAAAATGAATTAATTTCCACTGATATACATGTAACACTGCACCATGACACATGGCATGTGCAATCTAAAAATGATAATGGTAAAACTAGTACTAGTACTGGTAGGGTGACGCAAGCCCAATGTGATGTAGAAATTTTCAAAAAGGTGTTCACATACATGTACAGTACAGGAACAAATTTTAAATTATCATAACAAACGATGTTTTAACATAACTTTGCCATCTAGGCCTATTTCCAAAAACAGGCAAATTGTGTGTGTGTGTTGGGGGGGGGGGGGGTGACAAAATTGATTGGGTATGGCTTTTCAAGGAGGTTTTTGCCTAATCAAATACTAAAAAAAGTTTGCACATTTTGATAAATTCATCAAAAACGCTTTGTACTAAAATAATATTATTTGTTGTTGAGAAAATAAATTTAAAAACTTCCAATTATGGGCCAAAAATTTATATCCCCCCCTTTTATCAAAACCTAATTTACATCATTAATTAAATTCTGTTATTTCAGACTGGTAATGAATTAAGTATATGAAATGCGTATAAGAGGTTCATAGGTCACATGGTCACCTGAGCATTTTATGCTCGATTTGACGAATACATGTACTGTGTAAATTATAGAATTATTTGGACTTTTTCCTTGGTAAGCCCAATGTGAAGGAGTGTGCATTTAGAGGCAAACACCTTAGTGCGGGTATTACTGTCTCATGACAGCATCTAGTTATTTTATTGTTAAACATATCCCAATGATTGGCTTGATAATAATGAACTAGTTTCTTTCTAATCATTATGTAAATTTTGAATTTTTTTATCTATGTTCATAAATATGAATTTTGAACCACCCTTCTTAGGTCTATTCAGCTATGAAACACACATTTATTATATTTCAATCTTTGTTGTTTGATCAATAATAAAGAAAAAGAAGGTGTGGGTCATTAAGTAAGTTCTCTGTTGTTGGGAAGAGATAATTGCCCTCCAGATCACAGCTTTAAATTGCAATCAAAACAAAACTCATCTAAAGAGATATTCACTCCATGATTTAGAAGACATAGCCAATGGAGATAAATATTTCAATTTAAAATGCTCCGCTAGCTTAAGAAAAGAAAAACTTTCAATTTGATAATTATTTTAACATCTACCGGTAAACAGATTTTTATGAATGAATTTTCTATCTGTACAATTCTGATTTATGAAGTAAAATTGTTCAACATAAATAGCAATTTAGGATGTCCAGGTTACCTTCAAAGGAAATATTTAATTTGAGGGGTTATAGTTGTATCTATTAAAATACTCACTTTTAATCAAATATCATAAGCCATGCAATTTGTGTACATGTAGGTTTTGTGTGGTGGAAACTGCATCAAACTGATCTCGGATAGTTCTTTAAGAGATTCTTATTGTTTTGTAAATAAATGTTGTAAATTAAACCACAATGATACACAATACCTATAGCATATTATTTCTTGTACTGTTTGTGCAGAGGCTGAGCTTATATACAAATAAATGATGTTCTGTATATTCATTGACAAGGATTATAAAAATTTTCAAAAATGTAATTTGTAATTTAATTAATTACTTTTGCAAGTAATTGTAATTTAATTAATTACATGTCTTAGAAAGCCTGTAATTTTATTGTAATTTAATTGAAGAAAAAGTCAAAGTAATTGTAATTTAATTAATTACTTTTTAAAGTAATTGACCCCATCCCTGGCTGATACATACTGATAAGAGCTATTCAACTGCATCAGTATTTTTTACCTTGGCCTTTCCTTTGACCTTGACCTCACTTTTCTTAAATTAGTTTTTAGCTCAGTTTTAAAGATACCATTCAAGATAGTGATATCAAGCTTCATATGCTAATACATACTGATGTAACCTTTTCAACTGCATCAATATTTTTTTACCTTGACCTTTCCTTTGACCTTAACTTCATTTATTTTGAATTAGTGTTTAGCTCCGTTTTAAATAAACCATCCAAAATATTTTTATCAAACTTAATATGCTGATGCGTATTTATGAGAACTATTCAACTGCATCAGAAACATTTGACCTTGAATTTTTCTGGGACCTTGACCTTACTTTTCTTAAATTTGCATTTTGCTTAATTTTAAAGAAACCATTTAAGATATATTTATGTAAGATTATGCACTTATACATAATTTGGTGAGAATTTATCATCTATATCAAACTTTTTAGATTTCAATTTCAATTTTAAAGAAACTATTCAAGATATTCTCATCAAATTTCATACAGTAATACAAATTTTCATGTTGCATTACTAATATACCCTCGGTGGGGCATTCATGTCCTATGGACATATTTCTAGTCTGTGTAAGACTTTGAGTGTATAAAATATGCATTATGATTTATCTGTTTATCCTTACGATCTCCATTTCTCTCTGTGAAATGTTTGAAATACTGGTATTTTCATGGCTTTCCACCTTCAGTTTTCACCATTAAATTCAAAAGCCATAGTTCTTATGGTGCTTTTGTATATTGTTATTGTCTGTTTCCATGCCAACTTGCAATCTAAATCATTTCAAAGTAATCAAAGTAAATATCTAGCGGCCATGTGTCTAAGCGACCTCTAGACCCCTTAATACGATTTTTCATTTTATGATGTTGGCAGCTCTGTAATTCTGTATAAAACAGGATTTGTAACATGACAACAAATCATTGTTAAGTCATAAACAATTGACATGATTTCACAGTGATGTCATACACATGAGTGGTTGATGTATTCAATACATTTAATTTATACCATTAAGCTTTGAAAAAATAAATCAATGCATGGGTTTAAAACTATTATATGCAAATATTGGTTATAGATCAATCACAAATATGAATAAATGCACAAGTATTAAATATTAAAGATATCATTTTTAACATTTATCAGGATGTAAAAATGGGTTGGTATGTGATCAAATCTACCACTCAAGATGTATTGAATTTGATCATATACATGTACAGTATATCCTGATAAATGTTGAAAGATGATACAGTAAAACTTGTCTAATCCAGCCACCACTGGTTCCAGGATTAGACAACATTCTGGATTAGACAACATTTTAAACAATTGAATTTTACTGTAAGGGACTTAAAAGGAACATCGTATTAGGCCAGATTTCAGAGTACACAACATCTGGATTAGACAAGTTTCACTGTACTTTATTTCTTAAAAAGTACTGATTCAGTGGCATGTCAATTTACAGTATTTGTTGGTTATTTGGAACCCTTCACTGTCTTCCACTAAATATGTGATTTTCTTACGAAATTTTAGTTCAGAGTGTGTCACAAAAAACAAAAAAACAACAAAAAAAAACAGTGGTGTGGTTTGAAAAAAGAAATGATGAATTTTGTTTCTTGTAAGTGCTACTCATAAGAAGCAATTGTTCTCTAATAATGGCTTCTATTTGCAGTCACATCGTAGACCTTATTTTTTAATTTTTTTTTTTTCAATAGGCCCTCTTTCACCAAGACCTTGACTTTGCATACAGAATTGATGCTTTTTACAAAACGGGACAGAATTATAAGCTACTTACTGATCATGATCATTATTCTTATAGGTAGGTACAAAAAACAGAAAAACTTAGTACAGTCAAACTTCAGTATCTCAAACCACTTTGGGCTGAGAAAAAAATCTGTTGTACAAGTAAATTAGTATTTCTTAATTAATTTCTTTCCAATTCTAATGGAAGTTACTGTGTATTTCAGAGTGATCATGTTTGTATTAGCAGTATACAAGGAGCCCAGTCTGTCCAAGGTTGTAAACCTATACACAGCGCTGCAGCCTGTGGTAGGTACATGAACATGTATATTTAATATAAATAACTATAAACCGTTTTAATTTTACATACAAAACTACCTGTATATATTAATCTTTTTAAGTTCACCCATTTTCCATGGAAAATTTGTTCAATTTAAGCCGTATTACTTGAAGACCTTTACATGTACATGTATGTGAATACTGTCTACATGTACATGTCTTTGTGTATAGAAACTTTTTGTCCAGTCTCAAAAAAAAAAAAACACAATCAAATAGACTACACCTAGATACATAATTCTGTTTTTTGTTGTTGTTTTTTTTTTACTTTTAAATATGTGTCCCTAGTATAAACTGAAAATTGATTTTTTTTTCAAAACGATACCCGTCCCACAGTTTTCGCCTATTTCAACAAATCTTGGTACACATTTACACTGAGATAAATAATTTTGTGTCCTTTTTTTTCATTTTGGATGAACAGTGTCACTTTTTTTTAAAAAGATAAATTAGAAAATTTTTGGAAATTCTTTCAAAATTCTATTCTCACATTTTCTTTACATTAAACGTAATCTTTACAGGACGAGATAAGGTTCGTGAACGTATTCCGCAAGTTCATCAAAGACCTCACTGTCACAAAGTCCTACAAGTTTATTCCACAGCTGCTCAATTGTAAGTAATAGTCTCTTACTGTATTGTCAAGTTTACGGCAGTTATTTGCAAGGCATTGCCCTGTAAGTGAGTGGCAATTTTTTGGTCCTTTTCAAATTTAAGTTTATTATTAGCAGTAAGTGGTAAGCTTCTTCTAGCTACAAACTACTGCTCTTTTTAAGTGGAATGTTTTACTGTATATATGATTATTTTCAGCCTGTGTTATTTTCATCCTTTCACACTTGAAAATAATTTTGCCCCATTTTAAATTCGCACAAATAATTGTAATTATAATACAGTGCTGTTTTCTTTCAATTCATTCACCCACTTACAATGAGGGCGAAAGGGGTGAAAATAAAATGGGGGGGAAAATTTCCCTCTACACAGTACTTCCTAGATTCACTTACATGTACAAGTAGTTCTATAGTTTAAGAAGTTCAACAAGGATGTGTACTCTTGAAATTTTCAAAAGAATATTATTTAATTGTCATTTTTTCTGTAGCTTTTCATGCTGCCAGTTTCAATTTGGCAGAAATAACAGCTTTCTTGGCCAAAGAGAAGCAGCCACAACTGGTAAGTCAGCAACAATTATGAACAGATTTTGTTTGGACTTGGCTTCGAACCCCCTCTGATGGAATTTTTGAGGGGTTCTTTTATTCTACAGTATTGATCCTCCAAAAAATTAAATAGGACATTTTTATTCACAAGGTTGTTACAAAATCATTGCTTGATGAAATATACTCACTCTTGCCATTTTCAAGAGATCTAGCCAAGTTCATAAAGCATTTTATTTCTATTTACATTCAAAATACATGAAGCATGAACAGCCAAGGCTAGTACTATTCAGTGGGCTCTTTCAACTTTTAAAAAAAAGAGAAAAAAAAATTTCAACATAGGCTCTTGTCTGGAATCATTGAAATGACTAAATTCCAGACCACAGCATCTGTTATATTTACTTGGTAACATGTATTTGGAGTTGCCAATCCTCTGTGTTCACATACATGTTTACATATTTTACAATCATAATACACATGTATCAGATGGAGTATACAGTTCCTATATTCCAGTGCATACAAGTGAATATTTATTGTACAAACACTGCACTTAATGCGAACCTACATTGTTTGTTTGAACAATATTGCTTTATTGTTCAAAATTCTGTTAAATAACAGATTAATCCATGTGTTGGAATAGTCTATTATCTGTTGACATCCCAAATACATATAATGTAAATGTACTTTTTTTTCCATGGAGTCATAATTCCGCGGAATCACAATTTCTGTTCAATCCAGTGAAAGGAAATTATGTGATTTTTTTAAACTGTTCCCTTGTATTTCTTAAATGTAGTTTTAGTACACTGTGACAAATTTCCAAAGAAAGTTTTTGACTGTGTACATAGCGAAAATAAATACCACACAGCTAAAAGTCTGTCTGCAGTATATATATATATATTAATTAAAATTTATTTGTTTTAATTTTTTTCATTGCATTTCTTCAGGTGCAAGTAAAATTGGCTGAATTTGTAAAAGTAAAGTTATCAGAGCTTGAGGAAAAACGGAATGTGAGGTGAGAGAACACACATCAAGTCACGATTGTAAAGAAGAGGGAATTATGAAGTATTAAAGGGTCAAATGAAGTTATATACAAACAAGTTTAGTTAAAGATGGAATGGGGGGGGGGGGGCTAGAAGTCATGAAAGGGTCATCATTGGTGGCCTTGTCGAGGACTACTAGAGAGAGGAAGTGTGGTGTGAGAAATGGCTAGTGGGAATATGGAGAATGAAAAATGGTTTTAGGTGTTGAATGAAAATGTAGTCAAATATCCACATCATGTAATTAGGTGCACTATAGTGATTTATCTGTCCATTCATCTGATTTCATTTGTCCATAGCATATTTTCTCTCCCCTTGGCCCAATCTGGCTCAAACTTCACACATAGTGTCCTTAATACATGTAGTAATGGTGTGTAGAGAACCTGGGGCTGACAACAAATAGATTTTTCAAGCACTCCCCCTTGGCAAGTGCATGGTTAAAATGGCTTCTCAGATTTTAAGGTGATGTTGAGCATGAATTCTCTGTGTAAACATTGTATATACATCTGTAAATTTGCTGTTTTTAGCTCACCTGAGCTGAAAGCTCAAGTGAGCTTTTCTGATCACCCGTTGTCCGTCGTCCGTCCGTCTGTCCGTCCATCTGTAAACTTTTCACATTTTCGACTTCTTCTCAAGAACCACTGGGCCAATTTTAACCAAACTTGGTACAAAGCAACCTTGGGTAAAGGGGAGTTTAAATTGTTAAAATGAAGGGCCAAGTCCCCTTCAAAGGGGAGATAATCAAGAAAATACAAAAATTGGGTGGGGTCATTAAAAAATCTTCTTCTCAAGAACCACTGGGCCTGAAAAGCTGAAACTTACGTGGAAGCATGCTGGGGTAGTGTAGATTCTAAATAGTTCAAATCATGACCCCCGGGGGTAGGGCGGGGCCACAATAGGGAATCCAAGTTTTACATTGAAATATATAGGAAAAATCTTTAAAAATCTTCTTTTCAAGAACCACTGGGCCTGAAAAGCTGAAACTCATATGGAAGCCTGCAGGGGCAGTGTAGATTCTAAATTGTTCAAATGATGACCCCCAGGGGTAGGGCGGGGCCACAATAGGGAATCCAAGTTTTACATTGAAATATATAGGAAAAATCTTTAAAAATCTTCTTCTCAAGAACCACTGCACCTGAAAAGCTGAAACTTATTTGGAACCATGCTGGGGTAGTGTAGATTCTAAATTGTTCAAATGATGACCCCCGGGGGTACGGCGGGGCCACAATAGGGAATCCAAGTTTTACATTGAAATATATAGGAAAAATCTTTAAAAATCTTCTTCTCAAGAACCACTGAGCCTGAAAAGCTGAAACTAATGTGGAAGCATGCTGGGATAGTGTAGATTCTAAATTGTTCAAATGATGACCCCCGGGGGTAGGGCGGGGCCACAATAGGGAATCCAAGTTTTACATTAAAATATATAGGAAAAATCTTTAAAAATCTTTTTCTCAAGAACCACTGGGCCAGAAAAGCTGAAACTTATGTGGAAGCATGCTGGGGTAGTGTAGATTCTAAATTGTTCAAATGATGACCCCCAGGGGTAGGGCGGGGCCACAATAGGGAATCCAAGTTTTACATTGAAATATATAGGAAAAATCTTTAAAAATCTTTTTCTCAAGAACCACTGGGCCAGAAAAGCTGAAACTTATGTGGAAGCATGCTGGAGAAGTGTAGATTCTAAATTGTTCAAATGATGACCCCCGGGGGTAGGGCGAAGCCACAATAGGGAATCCAAGTTTTACATTGAAATATATAGGAAAAATCTTTAAAAATCTTCTTCTCAAGAACCAGTGAGCCTGAAAAGCTGAAACTTATGTGGAAGCATGCTGGGGTAGTGTAGATTCTAAATTGTTCAAATGATGACCCCCGGGGGTAGGGCAGGGCCACAATAGGGAATCCAAGTTTTACATTGAAATATGTAGTAAAAATCTTTAAAAATCTTTTTCTCAAGAACCACTGGGCCAGAAAAGCTGAAACTTACTTGGAAGCATGCTGGGGAAGTGTAGATTCTAAATTGTTCAAATGATGACCCCCGGGGTCACAATAGGGAATCCACAATAGGGGGCCACAATAGGGAATCCAAGTTTTACATTGAAATATATAGGAAAAATCTTTAAAAATCTTCTTCTCAAGAACCACTGGGCCAGATAAGCTGAAACTTACTTGAAAGCATCCTGGGGTAGTGTAGATTCCAATTGTTCAAATCATGACCCCTGGGGATAGGGCGGGACCACAATAAGTACTATCGGGGGGGGGGGGGGGGGATCAGGTGAAAAACAGCAAGGCCAAAGTTACTCAGGTGAACGCTGTGGCCCATGGGCCTCTTGTTATCATTTCAGACCAAAAATGGAATTATTGGAGAATATGTTGATGATAGCCATGAATGGTGAAAACATTGAATTAGCTTGGTAAGAACTACAAGTATATTGTATGTCCATAAAATACATGTAAAACTGAATTTGTAGAAAGGCAACCTCTGAATATTACAGAATACTAATGGAAAAATACTGCATCTTGTAAAAGAAAAACAACATATGGTAAAATATTCAAATGCTTTAATCCATATCAATGCCATACCCGACATGAACTGTATATAGTGATGTGCTATAATTTTTAGGTCACCTGAGTCACTCAGGTGACCTATTGCTATCCGTTCTCGTCGGTCAGCGTGCGTCGTGCGTTAACATTTGAACATTTTTAGCTTCTTCTCTGAAACCGCTTAACCAATTTCAACCAAATTTGGCATATAGCATCTATGGGTGAAGGGGAACAAAAATTTTGAATTTCATGGTCCCTGCCCCCCTGGGGCCTGAGGGGTGGGGCTAAAACCACCAAAAATAATGCAATCTTTAAAAATCTTCTTCTTTACTCCTGGACATCAAGCAGTCAAACTGTTGGCATCATTGTAATAAGCATTGAGCCCTCTACCAAAATTGTGAAATTCATGGCCCCAGGGTCAGGGGTTCTGGCCCCAGGGTGGGGCTCTATAGATCATATAGTGAAAGTGCATTATTTCTTTGAAAATCTTCTTCTCTGCTCCTGGGTATTAAATAAGGTAACTAAGTACATAGTTATGATGAGCAAGAGTGCCTCTTTCAAAATTGTGAAATTCATGGCCCCGGGGTTAGGGGTTCTGGTGTAAGGGCGGGACTCTATTGATTATATAGTGAAAATGCATTAATTCTTTGAAAATCTTCTTCTCTGCTCCTGGGTATTAAATAAGGTAACTAAGTACATAGTTATGATGAGCAAGAGTGCCTCTTCCAAAATTGTGAAATTCATGGCCCCGGGGTTAGGGGTTCTGGTGTAAGGGCAGGACTCTATTGATTATATAGTGAAAATGCATGAATTCTTTGAAAATCTTCTTCTCTGCTCCTGGGTATTAAATAAGGTAACTAAGTACATAGTTATGATGAGCAAGAGTGCCTCTTCCAAAATTGTGAAATTCATGGCCCCAGGGTCAGGGGTTCTGGTGTTAGGGCGGGGCTCTATTGATTATATAGTGAAAATGCATTTATTCTTTGAAAATCTTCTTCTGTGCTCCTGGGTATTAAGTAAAGTAACTAAGTACATAGTTATGATGAGCAAGAGTGCCTCTTTCAAAATTGTGAAATTCATGGCCCCAGGGTCAGGGGTTCTGGTGTTAGGGCAGGGCTCTATTGATTATATAGTGAAAATGCATTTATTCTTTGAAAATCTTCTTCTGTGCTCCTGGGTATTAAATAAAGTAACTAAGTACATAGTTATGATGAGCAAGAGTGCCTCTTTCAAAATTGTGAAATTCATGGCCCCAGGGTGGGACTCTATGGATCATATAGTGAAAGTGCATTATTTCTTTGAAAATCTTCTTCTTTGCTCCTGGGTATTAAATAAGGTAACTAAGTACATAGTTATGATGAGCAAGATTGCCTCTTCCAAAATTGTGAAATTCATGGCCCCAGGGTGGGACTCTATGGATCATATAGTGAAAGTGCATTATTTCTTTGAAAATCTTCTTCTTTGCTCCTGAGTATTAAATAAGGTAACTAAGTACATAGTTATGATGAGCAAGAGTGCCTCTTCCAAAATTGTGAAATTCATGGCCCCAGGGTCAGGGGTTCTGGTGTTAGGGCGGGGCTCTATTGATTATATAGTGAAAATGCATGAATTCTTTGAAAATCTTCTTCTCTGCTCCTGGGTATTAAATAAGGTAACTAAGTACATAGTTATGATGAGCAAGAGTGCCTCTTTCAAAATTGTGAAATTCATGGCCCCAGGGTCAGGGGTTCTGGCCCCAGGGTGGGTCTATATAGATCATATAGTGAAAGTGCATTGATTCTTTGAAAATCTTCTTCTCTGCTCCTGGGTATTAAATAAGGTAACTAAGTACATAGTTATGATGAGCAAGAGTGCCTCTTTCAAAATTGTGAAATTCATGGCCCCAGGGTCAGGGGTTCTGGTGTTAGGGCGGGGCTCTATAGATTATATAGTGAAAATGCATTAATTCTTTGAAAATCTTCTTCTCTGCCCCTGGGTATTAAGTAAAGTAACTAAGTACATAGTTATGATGAGCAAGAGTGCCGCTTCCAAAATTGTGAATGTCATGGCCCCAGGGTCAGGGGTTCTGGTGTTAGGGTGGGGGTCTATCAACTATCTAGTGAAAATGCATTAATTCTTTGTAAATCTTCTCTGCTCCTGGGTATTAAATTAAGTAACTAAGTACATAGTTATGATGAGCAAGAGAGCCTCTTCCCACATTGTGAATTTCATGGCCCCAGGGTCAGGGGTTCTGGTGTAACGGCGGGGCTCTATCGACTATATAGTGAATATGCATTAATTCTTTGAAAATCTTCTCCTCTGCTCCTGGACATTAAGGTGATTAACTAAGTACATAGTTATGATGAGGAGGTGGGCCCCTTCCAGAATTGTGAAAGCCATGGCCCCTGGGTCAGGGGTTCTGGTGTTAGGGCAGGGCTCTATTGATTATATAGTGAAAATGCATTAATTCTTTGAAAATCTTCTTCTCTGCTCCTGGGTATTATTTAAACAAACTAAGTGCATGATTATGATAGGCAAGGATGCCTCTTCCAAAATTTTTAAATACATGGCCTCAGTTTTTGGGATTCTTGAGGAGGGGGGGAGGGGGCTCTATTGATTATATAGTGAAAATGCATTAATTCTATTAATTAATCATTAACTAATCCTGTCTGCTCCTTAGTTTTGAGCTGATAAATAAATTGCTTAGCTATGATGAAGATAGGAGCTTCGAACAGAATTTTTAAATCTTGTGGTCCTAGGGTCAGGGGTTCTGGCATAATGAGGGAGGGGGGGCTTTTGATAATATAGTGGAAAAGTGTTAATTCTTTGAAGTCCATAGTTATGATGATGAGGGTAACTCTTCCAAATTTGTAAATTTCTTGACCTTTGGTCTTGGGTTCTGGTGTTAGGGTAAGGCTTTGTTGAATCTGTAGTGAAAATGCATTGTACCTGTGAAATTCTTCTCTGCTTCTGGGCATATCGAAAGCAAACTGAGTAAAAGTTTAAATGATATAAGTAAGCGTATTTCTACCAGATTTTTGAACATCTGGACAATTTGTCTAAGCATTCTGGTCCTGGACAGGGCTCTATTAATTTGTATTCTACTGAGAGAAGTTATTCCCCTTTTCCATTCACCTTTGATAATTAATCACTGTAAATAATGTATTTGAAAGATTAATAGAATAAGATAATTATGCAAGAATGTTTATCGTATAATTCAAAAAGTACTTTCTTAGTTTTAATAATCAGGCAGACCTGTAAGTAATAGATAAATAAAAATGAGACAAAAATAACTTATCTTATTAAAAGTTCTTCAAAGACCATAAGAGAGGTCAATGCTAGAGGTCTTAATATGGGCTTAAAAATAGTACAGAAGCACTAATAGTTTGTTAATAGTCTGCATGGTGATAATATTAAGTGGGGGACAGATTAGAACTTAATTTATGAGTTGATACTGAATACTAGACTAATTATTTTGTTGATCCTGATCTTCCTACTTCTCTTGCTTTAGGGCAACAAAGCTTCATCTGTCAGTGTATTTAACTTCTAAATTGTTGTATTATTCTCAGGTGACCGTTAAGGACCTTGGGCCTCTTGTTTATTTATGGAGATTGAAGTAATGCTATAGAAAGGAGAATGCTAACAGGAAATTCTTTTCATCTTTTCAGGAAAGTGTTCTCGTTTATTATTACCAATAGGAAGAATATGTATGGAGCAGAAGTAAGCATGTAAGTATATATTTATTTCCATTGCCATGAGTGAAATGAAATCAATGGAGTAACAAGGCTGGAAAGGAGTACCGTATACAGGGTTATTTTTGCCATGTGTAATTTTCACCCTATTACATTTGAAAACAAATTCACCATGTTTAAAATTCACCCAGAAACAGAGTTTTTTTTTGTTTTGTTTTTTTATAAAGGGAAAATAATGTTTTTGTTGAATTGTCCCCATTTTAAATTTACCCACTGACATGGGAGAAGGGGGGGGGGGGAGAGGGGGGTTCCCTTTATACAGTATTGAATTATCAGGTTGTCCTCAGGATATAAATTTGAATTTTTTTTAATTTAAAAGACAAAGAAGTTTTCACTCATCTGGTACAAATTAAAGCAAGCATTTTTAGCTCACCTGAGCTGAAAGCTCAAGTGAGCTTTTCTGATCACATTTTGTCTGTAGTCTGTCTGTCTGTCTGTCTGTCTGTCTGTCTGTCCGTCTGTCTGTAAACTTTTCACATTTTTGACTTCTTCTCCAGAACCACTGGGCCAATTTCAACCAAACTTGCCATAAAGCATCCTTGGGTGAAGGGGGTTCAAGTTTTTTCAAATGAAGGGCCACACCCTCTTCCAAGGGGAGATAATTAAGAATTGGTGAAAATTTGGTGTCATCTTTTAAAAATCTTGTTCTCAAGAACCGTTGAGCCAGAAAAGTTTATACTTATGTGAAACCTTCATTATATAGTGTAGATTCAAGTTTGTTCAAATCATGACCCCCGGGGGTAGGGTGGGGCCACAATGAGGGATCAAAGTTTTGTATAGGAATATATAGACTGAAAAAAAATCTTCTTCTCAAGAACAACAGAGTCACAATTAATCATATTGATATGGAATCATCCTCAGGTTGTGTAGATTCAAGTTTGTTCAAATCATTACCTCAGGGGTAGGGTGGGGCCACAATGGGGGATCAAACTTTTACATAGGAATATATACGAAAAATCTTTAAAAATCTTCTTCTCAAGAACAACAAAGCCACAATTAGTCATATTGATTTGGAATCATCCTCAGGTAGTGTAGATTCAAGTTTGTTCAAATCATGACCCCTGGGGGTAGGGTGGGGCCACAGTGGAGGATCAAACTTTTACATAGGAATATATAGGGAAAATCTTTAAAAATCTTCTTCTCAAGAACAACAAATCCAAATTAGTCATATTGATATGGAATCATCTTCAAGTAGTGTAGATTCAAATATGTTCAAATCATGACCCCCGGGGGTAGGGTGGGGCTACAATGGGGGATCAAATTTTTACATAGGGATATATAGGAAAATTCTTTAAAAATCTTCTTCTCAAGAACAACAAAGCCACAATTAGTCATATTGATATGGAATCATCCCCAAATATTGTAGATTCAAGCTTGTTCAAGGCATCCACCAGTAGTAGGGTGGGGCCATAATGGGGGATCAAAGTTTTACAAAAGAACATATACAGGAAATATCTTTAAAAATCTTCTTCAGTCTCAAGAACAACAAAGCCATGATCAGTCATATTGATATAGAAGCATCCTCAGGTAGTGTACATTCAAGTTTGTTCAAATCATGAACACCCCCCCCCCCCCCCCCCTACCCGGGTAGGGTGTTAGACATATTTAAAATTCTGTTTTAAAGAACAGCAAAATCATGATTAGTTATATGAAGATAGAAGCATCCTCAGAAGGTTTATATTCAATTTCATTCAAAACATGGCACCTTGGGGCAGGGTATGCCTAGAACAGGCGATCAAAGCTTTATATATGAATATATAGGAGAAATATAGAAGAAAACTGCTGACGAAGAACAGCAGGGCCATTTTGACTCAGATGAGCGTTGTGGCCCATGGGCCTCTTGTTTTAAAGTCTTTTATAGATTAATTAAAACCTTTGATTTTAATGTTTGATGCTGAGAATACAGTCATTTATAGGTAAAAAATTATTTTGATTTAGAGGGAAAATCGTATGAAGGATAAAGCTTTAGATTTAGTATTTTGTAGATTACAGCAGTTTGTTATAATCTTTTGAAGGTTACAACTCTTTTTTTTTATATTTTATAGGATACAACCTTTTGAGGGACTGTTAGATTACTACATTTCTGCAGATGACTTGGGAAAATGTGCAGTAAGTACTGCTTTACAGTCTGGCCCCAAGACCATAAACTGAGAACAGCTTTAAGTCAAAATTTCAAACCAATATAACTTTTGAAATAATTTTGATAATGAAACAAAACTTTTATCATATATTTGAATTTAAATGTTATATAAAATTGCAAATTTTGAAGCAAATACATTAAATAAAACTCAAGATATAAAAAATCAAAATTTTGACTTAAGTCTATTCTCAGTTTATGGTCTTGGGGCCAGGTCACAGAAACTTATAGACTAATAATGTCAGAATTTTGATGATTAAAATTTTCAATAACTATTAGACTGAAGGATAATGAAGATATATGTATCTAAATGACATTAGCAAACTGTTAAAAAAATGAACAGAAAGACCACAATAAGCCACATTAATTTGCAAGTGTCTTTACCTAGTTTGTTCAAATTAATGAATGATCTCCCTTATTTCTTTTCCTTTACTCATGAAAACTTACTATTAAAAAGTGCAGGCATGAAGGAAATGAGTCCCATGGTCCAGAGATTAGACCCAGGGTCAGACTGGATAACATAAAATGTATTACATCATAAAATTATGCTACTTTACTTCTGAAATACTTAGCAGACAAACGGTATGCTTTTAGACCCTAACCAACATTGTGCATTTTATATCCACAAATAAATGATTCAAGCCCCAGAGTGGGGCTAAGTTGATCATATTTTGAGGAGCTCTTGATATGTAGATAACTGTCAGTGCCTTTGGGCCTCTTGTTAATGATAGGAATTTGTTCACTTTTTAAATGGAACAAATTGTATTTTTTAGGAAATTATGAAGTTTTTGGTGAAGGAAGTTCCACAAGGTGTGGCAGAGAGTTTAGGAGAGAAAATTTTCACTAGTATTCCTATGAATGAACTGGAAAGGTAAGTCAAAACTGGAAATTGTAGGCTGTTTAAAAAAAATAATATTCCATAATTAAAAGTACACTAAAATACAACAAGAGATTTTCTCCAGGACAAAATTACTCTTACTAAAGCTTTAATTTGCCATATAGGTATAAACTTTTACTACAGTCTTACTGTAAGTGTAAAATATTTGGCAGAAATTGATATTTTAAAAAGTTGGCATAGATTTGATTTAGCGCATTTCTTAATGCTCTTATTAATGTGTACATGTGCAAGACATTTAGCGTGTACTTGAATTGTCGGACGTTGCTTTCCGCCAAAGGGGCTAAAAAGAATACAAGCCAAATGTAATACATTTACAGTATTTTATCATCCAATGAAATCAGTTTACCATAATTTTTGACAATTGTTGGTCATATCTTCACTTATTCCCAGTTTCAGTTTTATTATTTTAGGGTAACCTGGCGTTCAGGACCCTGGAAATTGTCTCTTGTTATAGCTTGTACATCTGTTTGTGTATTATTTGGAGAGCTAGTGAAAAATTCTAGTTCAGACATGAAAGAGAACTTTTAAGTACTGTCAACAAAAATTTATTCTGAAAGATAATAACCTCAATCATTCAAACTAATTACCGTATGAAAAAGTCTCTCAAAATCATGCAGCAAAGCTACAATATTCATTGACTAGCATCTTCATTTAGTACAACATAGATAAAATATTTTAGCCCAAAAATGTATATAACTTTAGCATTTTTACCTCTCCAATCTCAAAAAAGGTTACGTAAAAAATATTCTTGGTGATAGGAAATGAAAGGTCATGCTCCTGTCTAATGGGAAGCAATTAAGAAATGTATAAAATAGGATGGGATAATTATATCCCCTGCAAACAGAGTTGTGTTTAGGAGAGGGAGGAGAGAGTAAACAGAAATCACCTCGTCTGTCTGTGCAATCTTTAACCAAAGGTCATTCCAGCAAGTTCAAGGATAAGGCAGAAAAAGTGTAAATTTTGTGTCAGGTCCTTAAGGAGGTTGGATCCTGCCATCAAAAGTAATGAGAATTTTTTATCAAGTATATTTTTAGAATTTATACACATAGCTTTATTAAAAATCAAAACAAAAAATGGGGGTCAATGCGCTTCTTTTGCCGCTACAGAGCATTTAGTTTGACCTTTTTGCACTGTAAATACGTCTTACACATAAATCAATTTTTAAAGTTTTTCCTTCAATATTTTTTGTTCAAATAAATTATGGTGAACAAACACAGTCTTATTTCATCTTAAATAGACACATTAAAATTTGTAACAACGAAGAAATTTTTGAATTACTCCGCATGTTCAATTATTTGACCTTTTTGCACTCAAACATTTTCATTTTTCTGGTATTAAAATTTAACAAGCAAAAAAAATCATTTGAAAGTAATGACATTTTACTGAATTTAAGAAGAATGATTAAAAGTATCGTATATATTCAGAAAAGAAAATCAAAAGTGGGGGTCTGATGTTAATTTTTAGATATTACTAAAATAGTGCTAATTTTAAGCTTAAATTAGGGCTATTTTTTTTCTTCATTTCCACAATATATTTGCTATATTTATCAAATATGATGATAGAATTCATGGCAGTTTTTTTAATAGATAATTTAGGACCAGTATAAAACAGTCCACTGCACAAAAGAACTATGTGTGCAGACTACATGTAAAAATAGGAATCCAAACTTAACATACTTTTAATTCTTCGAAAGAGAAAAAATGATCATTTTCTTCTAAAAAACCTTCCGCCACAAAATATAGTTCCTCACTTAATGCTTTTGGTATGGAATTTAATCATGGAGTTTTAACTGAATATAGTTAAATTGGCATTGTAGAATCCAAATTTATTGTAAGAATTAAAACATTATGCAGAATTTTTGAAATATAGGTTAAGATAAGAATCTGCTCAAAAGCTCAGGAGCGAACCTCGTTAACATTCTAAAAGAGAAACAATGGAAGCACATACTTGACAAAAAGATTTCCTATGACCTGACAGTTTGTGTTTACCTTGACTGCAGATCATTCTGGCAAGTTCAAGGTCACTGGCAGAAACCTAAAGATATATTGTGACCTTGACCCAAGGTTGGTTGGGCAAGTTCAAGGTCATCTTAAGAAAAATTTACATGAGTAGACTCTTAGGGAGAACTATGATGATGATACTGTACTTATAATGGAAATATATATACAGTAGTATTGGTATTCTTCCTAATAATTTTCTAAATTTTTAGCTCACCTGAGCCGAAGGCTCACCTATTGTGGTCCCACCCCTACCTCCGGGGGTCATGATTTGAACAAACTGGAATCTACACTGTTCAAAATCTTGACCCCCGGGGATAGGGTGGGGCCACAATGGGGGATCAAAGTTTTACATAGAAATATATAGGAAAATATCTTTAAAAATCTTCTTCTTAAGAACAGCAAAGCCATGATTGGTCATATTCATATGGAAGCATCCTCAGGTAGTGTAGATTCCAGTTTGTTCAAATCATGACCCCCGGAGGTAGGGGTGGGACCACAATGGGTGATCAAAGTTTACAGAAAAGCCATGATTAGTCAAAATGATATGGAGGCATCCTTGGGTAGTGTAGAATGAAATTTGTTCAAATGAGTGCCCCCGGGGGTAGGGTGGGGCCACAATAGGGGATCAAATTTTTACAAATGAATATATGGGAACAAATCTTCTGCTCAAGAACAGCAAAGCCATTTGTTATATTGATATGAAAGCATCATCAGGTTGTTTAAAATTCAACAACAACCCCCACCCACCCCACCCCCACCCCCTGTAAACTTTTCAATACTGAACTGATTTTTGCTTTTTTTTCTAGCCAAGGTGCGCAGATGACCGATGTGGCCCATGGGCCTCTTGTTTGGTGATAATTGGAGAAAGGTGGTGGGATGGGGTTGGGGGTGTTTTTACAAACAATATCACATTAGACTTGTCAAGCCTTGAGATATGCTCCTGCAATAGCCATGAAGTTATTTCAAATGAACCTGAACCCCTGCTAAATGCACAAGCACTTGACATTTTAAACATTTCTCTTGTTATATAAAAAACTTCCAAACACTTAAAAACATGAAGTTCATGTGGGAATATGAGGAAGCTCCTGTATAGTGTTCTGTTATTTATGACTCAATAGTTCGTACAAAAAAAAGTTATCTATAACTGTATGAGGATATTATATTATGAACCTTCACCTGGTTAAAAGCCAAGAATAAGAGGTGCAGATTCAATGGCCATAATAAACAAATCCTGTAAGATTCGGAGAGTTTTATGGCCTCTCATTCAGGCCCGTAGGAAGCAATTTCAGTTTGGGGGGCACAGGCATACATTTTCAGTTTGGGGGCACTATCAACTACCAAAAATTCCTTGACAAGCCCCCCCCCCCCCCCCCCAAAAAAAAAGGTCATCAGGTGTTTTTATTGAGGAGACACAAGCATATAGTAGCTTAGTTTTCTATAGTTATCTATATATCGGCAAAATTATTGGGGGGGGGGGGAGGAACGCCCCCCTCCCCCCCCCCCCCCGTCCTACAGCCATGCATTTTAATCAAGATATTACATTATACTTTTTTTTTCTTTGAAGGGAGCAGCTGCAGAGAATCATGAAGAGAGCAACAATAAAAAAGAGAAGATCAAATCCATATTTAGCTAGATATTAATAAAAATAACTTTATTTCCCCAATTTTTTTCTGTTTATTCAGTAATTACTGGTTTGATTGATCTCTGGTTTGAATTATTGAACCAATATAAGCAGTATGCAATTATTTATGGCTACATTGATACATAATTATGTAGGGGTTAAACACACAAATATTTTTGGTAAGAAAATGTACTATATTTAAAATGTTTAATTAGTTATACTGTAGGCGGAGCCATGCCCAGTTCCATATTTAGAATGATTTTCATGTAGAAGAGCAATTATCATGTTCTAAATTGAAATAGTATTAAGGATAGGGAAAAAAAACTATATCCATCAAATTAATATGAATGAATGTGAACTGCGGTTTTACCAGGTATTTAATTATTGTGTAGGAGTTAACGCTCGGTGTTAATTTATGCTATATTTGTGCTCTCGACATTGTGAATTCCAGAAACAAAAATTAATATAAAAAGTTTTACTTGTACATGTACATGTGCGTAGATTACAAATTTTTTAGGTTTACTAATTCAAACAACCACAATTAATTGCCCAAAGAAAAAATTAACTAAATTATGTCTGCAAATTTTAATCCTTAACGTACCGGTGGTTTATTTTTAACTCTTCTATCTGTGGATTACTGAGTGTAGAAATGATCATTTTCGCTAGCCAGGTACATGTACTCCTGATCTGCTACCTATGCCTTAAACACCCCTCACAGAATCAGGAATAGGTAAAATAGTTCGGGAATACTTAACTAGTTAAGATAAGGAATGTTGTAGATTTATACTGAACACGTGTCTGTGACAAAGAACATTGTGTTCGTGAGTAGTTACATATCAAAACAAGGAAATGAAAATGAACCAGAAACTGCGACTGCAAGCACCCAAACAGTGGGTTTCCTCCTTTTCCATGGCAACAGCACTCATTTTGGATGTTGCATGCACAACTATACTGACTGAAGTTTTATTAAGATTTTTCAAGCCTGCATCTGCAAGAACTGCTGTGGAAAGAAATTGGGTGGAACAATTTGTCCCCCTGACTTTGTTCTGGGTGACATTATTATGAAATTTTCATTTCTTCCAATTCCTTTAAATGTGCAGGATGTAGGAAATAAACAACAGTTCATTCTTGTTTTTTTATTTGGATTTCACAAATCACGTGTATAACAAAAAACACAATTCTCTTTTTAAGACGTTTGTCAAGTGATTATGCAATTACATCTGTTTCTAAGACATTAAGTGATATTACTAGTCTATACGATTCATTTATTCACCAAGAGTATTATTAACATCAATCTCACAAACCATTATAACTAGTAACCTTAAAGTACATTGATGATCTTCATGATAAAAATAAAATGAACTGAGTACATGAAAATGACCCCAAAAAAACATATTGGTTAACAACTCTGCATAATAATTGTGAAATCACAAGAAAAAAATATAATACTAGTACATGTAATAAACACTGTATTTACAGCCTGATATTTAAAGGGAAAAAAAACTTGAAACTGAAATAAAGTAAGCTTTACTTGAACAGAAACTATACAAAATTACAATATGAACACAAGCAAAACAGTATTTAAATGTTTTAAAAATAGTAGATCTAAACTTCAAAAGAAAGATTGAAAATACATATTCCAAATATTCATTATTTACATTTTTGCTTTGAAATTTGACACAGGAGGCAGATATATGGTTACACCCCCCCCCCCCTTTTCTCAAGCCCCTGTTGTATGAGCTGTGTTGAAAAATTATGGAACTTCTAATATATTGATTTTAATGACGTTTCAAATTAAATTTTAAATAAGAGATAGATAAATTTTGCATATTTATCTAGTATTCGGTTATTCATTATACTTATAAAATTTGCTTTCAGAATTTTGTTTATGGTCTTGATGGTAAAATTTTGTTTTTTATGGTACTTTTAAACAATAATTTAAAATTTATCAACGGAAAGTAGCAAGGTGATTCTCTCTTTAAAATAATTACAAGTTAGAAGTTTTGTAAGTGAACTTCTGAAAACAAGCAGAGAAGTACACGTGTACAAATAATACACAGGTTTAAATTTGAAGAAACTTCAATAACATCCTGTTGCGATGGTGTAAAATTTAAATATTGTACATGACTTATGATGTTGCATGGTATTAAATTGTGTTCTCTATCTGAATAAATCAACATTTTCTTCAGCAGTGACAGGAAATGATATAGATAAGGGGGACAAAAAAACTAACTATGATTGTGTCAAATATCCTATTCAGCCTTCTTCACAGATCTCAAGTCATCAAGTTCAACCATCTTTTCAGATCTAGTCACAACGCCGAGGAAAATGGGAGGGGGGAACAATATCACATAAAAAACTGAAAGAGCTTCATGATCAAGTCACATAAAATAAACTAGTTTCCACAAAACTTTGATGTGATCTACATGTAAATGTTGGGTACATATATGCTAAGAAAATGGTCTATACTGAATTTATGTATGTTGATATGACCTGCAAATCAGTAATTCTTATACTCTAATATGAATTTTTCATTGGTGAATATCAAATAAAACTAGAAACAGAATTCCCTGAAAGGATGAAAATAAACATTGCGGAGAGTACCTCAATTGGAATTGTTTTAGAAATTGCCTGAGAAAATGACTGGTCCCTTGAATGTAAACTATTTGTCCTGAAGCTTGTACATAATAAATAATGGAATTCTGTGGTATTATATTAACTTACACACAAAAAAATAAAAATAATAATTAATATCAGAAATTACTGAAGATGCCAAAAGAAATGATCAGATCTTTGGACTTGGTTCAATATGTACACAAAAAACATGAACTTTTGCGATTTCACAAAAAAAAGCTATAATTGTAGTTATTAATCATATTAATTTAGTAGAACATGGCGGAGATAACACTGTCTGGTGACATTTATTGGTGGAATATTAATTTTTTTGGTTACATAAGCTGGACGGTAGACCTCTTTGAAGCCTTTTCTTGTTAAGTAGCACCATCCTGTGGTAGAATTTTTGGCCATCCAAGAAAGAAAAAATCCACTTGTTACACTCATTTGAATTAACACAAGAGTTGCCTCTAATCATATATAATGCAGAGGCATTTGGCACAGTGTAATTTAAAGTATGAAAAACTACAACACAATAAGGAAACTTTGGCTACATGATATAACGTTGAACAAGGGGTAAGTGATGAAAGGGGGAAGGGGGGTGGGGCTAACTGGGAGATAGGAGTGGGGTATTAGGGGAGGAAAATGTAGGACTGAACGTGAAGTCAAAAGCCCCACTCCCAAACACTTGTCCCTGGGATAGGCTGGAACCAGTGGACTGCAGGCCTGAACTGGAGCTGCTAGCTGTTTCATTGGATGAAGTGTCCATTGAACTGTCCATAGAGGAATCGGACACCGAACTATTTAAAGTCCCGTCATGTGATTTGATTTCTTTCTCGTAATTTTCTAGCTGTCGCATGAAGTTTAAATTTGGAGATATGACACTTCGACGAGATTTAATGTGTTCGAAGGCGGTTTCCAGCCCGACTTTGGCAGTGAACATGAGATAGGCTAGACAGATCGTGGCACTGCGGCTTACACCTGCTTGACAGTGCACTAATACTTTGCCATGATTTTCTCGAACTGAGTCTGTAAAAGAAACAGAAATGAAGAAAATATTAAACAATAAAATGTATGTGTTTAGACTCATGCATAATGTTTTATTTGAATTGTAACATAGCATCTTTTCAAAGCAAATTAGCTTTTTTCTTCTTATAATATTAATACTGTTTTATTATTTTGTTTTATCAATTCTTAAAAAAAAATCTCATCAGTCCAAATTCATTTATCCCATGGAAGTAACGAAAGTAATTTTATTCCTCTTTTGTCTTATTAACTGAACTGGTGCCCATACCTATAAAAGCATTGCTCTGGGGGAACCAGGCTGCCAGATCTGCATTAGGGTTATCATCAACAGGAATGTTCATATAACTGAAGTCCTGCTCAAAGAGATTCTTGCACTTAGTTGAAACGTTCATTAATGATGTAATTCCAAGGCGGTGCAGAAGTTCCAAATTGGATGCATCCTGAAAGTTACCTAGGTAGAGGAATGGGAGTATTTCCACTGGAGCGTCCTACAATATTTGAATCAATGAATAAATACATACATCTTGCACAGACAACTAAATTATCCAAGTATGTTTGTTTTCCAATTTTAATATAATGGTTAATCTGTTAACTACTATAGTATGTCAATGAGCACAAAAAATATCTCCATTAAGTCTGATATTTGACTTGTGGGACTTGGGAGAGATGTTTTGAGCATGAGCAGTCTTTGGGTCTGACCTATCTGTGGACATTGTCGGGTTCCACGTTGAGGGTACTATATGTGGTTAACTTGGACTGACGATCACACAGCTTGTGCGTATGTGTGTGTGTGTGGGGGGGGGGGGGGGGGGATAGAGTTGGTCTTACCTGTCTGTGGACATTATCGAGTTCCACTTTGAAGGTACTACATGGGGTTAACTTGGACTGACAGTCACACAGCATGTGTGTGTGTGTTTGGGGGGGGGGGGGGGGGTAGAGTTTGTCTTACCTGTCTGTGGACATTGTCGGGTTCCACATTGAGGGTACTACATGTGGTTAACTTGGATTGACAGTCACACAACTCTGGGTATGTGGAACAGAAGTCTTTGTATCCTCCTGTAAGAAAATTTACACCATTAGTGAAAGATATGTCAAATATTATGTAACAAACACTTGGGACTATTGTACATGTACATTATAATTTTAATCAAATTCCATCAGTACTAATACAATGTATGTATTCACATTGTATTATCCCACAATTGAGGCTTTGTGAGGATAATTGATTTAGACTGAAATATCTTGTCTTTCTGTGCGTTGTGCGTATCTAAAAAGTACGATCTAGTTCTTTAAAAAATCAGGCACTTACTAAATACCTAAGACCAAGTACAAAATATGCCGTATATATCATTGTGGGGTCATAATAAGTCAGACTCAAGAACATGTGAAGTAGATTGTACAATATTTAATCGTTCTTCGCGAAAGGACATTTCCTTAATTCTTCAGAGTCGAGTGTCAATTACACATTTAAAAGCGTACACAGTCACTGAGTTACTTCTGTAAATGTATTCTTTGTTCACGTACGTCATTTTCCTTTTCTAAGGAAAGTCAATAAAGGGGAAAAAACTTCCTGGATAAAACATGCTAACATAAGTACACTACTTCACATATTTATTCAATATTTATTACACTACACAAAAAGATCGTTTCCCGTATCAATACTTATATGCAAACAACAAACACACCTATATCAATGACAAGTCTGTCGAATTCCACTCCCTTTGCAAATTAAATTATGGCTATGTTATCAGTATACATGTATTCGGGATGATTTCATTGGCAAATGCAGTCAATATGTTTATTAAGTGAGAGCGTATCAATTTCATCATCTTCTAAATTTAGCAAATTAAACAGACCATCTATATGTTATTTATAGCTTCTAAAATTAAACACAAAGTTCTCATTATCTCCTGCGAAACAGGAACTTGTATTGTGAAAGAAAAAAATGTGAAACTGTTTCATAAGATATGAGACATGCGATATGAAAAGAAAAAAATATATAATACAACTTCAAATTCATAGGTTTTAATAACAATATTAAAAGTAAGACGTTATTTGCAATATATTCTATTCTATATATATAGTTAGAGAGATAGAGATGTTAACAAGTTTCTGTTTTAAATTCTCTGACTTTTAAAAGATATATGAAGATAACTATACAATATCACATATCTTTGAAAATATTTTTGTTTCAGTCATGAATATTCAGTTTTTTCCTAGAATTGATACGTTTTTTTAAACGAAATATTGAATTTGACACGTCCTTTTCTAGTCAAGACGTCTCTTTCAAGCTTTTAAAACTTTCGTTATCCTGCGATACTCTGATATATTATCACCTATTGAACATAGGTATCATTCCTGCCAAATTTCAAAGCTTTTGGAGAAACCTGGGATAAAATGTGTTGTCTTTCTGGAAAAATTGGATGGGGGTCTTTGTTCGCAAACATGTAGAATTTTACCAGGTAAGATTTTAAGTTAAGTCATAACACTTGACTATTCCATGCAATCAAAATATTTCAAAATACCACGACTTAAGAGCACAGTGTATAACGATTATACGTTTATGACATAGATTTTTTTAAGGATTTCTCCAGACTTGTACAGAGTAAAACATTTGATCCCGGAAAATATGAAGGCCCCTATACGAGCTACTTAGAATTCTATTTATACCAAACCGGATGAAATCTACCACTCTCTCTGGCAAGATTTTTTTTTGGTAAAGACGACTTCCGTACTTTCTTAATCTTATAAATATCAAAACTTGAATTTCAGTACTCTTACACTTAAAAATAAAAAATCTACTCATAAACGCACACTGTCCTTCAAGAACAGCTCCTTCGATCATTACATCTACATCATTTCGTGGATCGAAACGGTAATCTAAATTTTTCCAAATAATAATTTTCCATATTTCCAGCTGGACGGATGTGGACGGTGCACGTGTTTGTACTCGAACGCACCTAGCTGGCGAGTGTGGTTAAATTGTTGTGGTCAATCGCATCATCAGCACATGATAAACTGGGATGAGTGGTGCAAAAACAAGTCCTTAGTTATTAGCCCTTAGGCAGAAAATATAGTGATAAATTGTCAACAAATGATAATAATTTGAAGAAAAAAAATTCCACTAAAAAGGGCCGTTTTATTGCGCATTCACTTAAAAAAAATTGCAATCATATCTTCTTTACATGTTATACAGTCTTTTATATCAATAATCTTATTTCAAAACTATTTCCAAATTAAACGTGTATAATTTATGTTCAGTTGTTTACGTGTGATATAAACTTTAATATATTTACTTAATAATTTTCTTTACTTATTTTTTTTTTATTCAAATTTACATTGTATGTACTTAATGAACTACTGTTGATATGTACTTCTCTGAATGGAATTCTTTTCGTAAACAAACTCTGAAATTTCGGTCAACTTAGGTCGTATATTGATGGTGTTTACGGTGATCTTCTGTATAAATGCTGTCCCCAAGTTGGCAAGATTTAATCGATTCACAGTGAGTTCCAAAACCTAGCTTTCATTTAGGAGCGTAAACATAAATACATAGAGAAAAAGTGTAGAGAAAGACGTGTGCAGAGAGAGAGAGAGAGAGAAAGAAAGAACAAGTTTTATATCCACTATTTGAATTCATTTTAGATGCGAAATGTACATGTGCATACTATATAATTAATAACAGTTACAACTGTACCAGCAAAACTCATTAAGATACTTGATACATATGCACTTGCACGCACTGCAAACTAACTACAGGGTCGTGCTACATTGCATTTGCAAATGTAGAGAGAGAGACCAGAAGAAGAAAAAACATCAACAAGCATCATCAGTGAAGAGAAAATAGGTCTGTAAAGTCAGGCACTCCCACGCATCAATCAATAGAGAGAAGGAAAAAAATCGTTTTATCTCTCAATGAATTCTACATCCGCAATCTACCGAGCACTGGCTGTACTTGGACACCAGAGTCAATATTTAACTCAAAGAAGGCATTCTCTGTCTTATCAAGCAGGAACGGGAAATGTTTATATAAACAGTCTTGATTTGTTTGTTTTTGTGCATGTGAAGTGTTGTTGATCATTACAGATTTGGGTTCATCTTATAAACATCTAACAAGTAGCAGGATTTTATTCAAGGTTTTTCTAATTTTAGGAATTTCCAATTAACTTACAATTCTCAAAAGAAAAAGCTTGAATACACAGTTTTATATATATACATATCATAAAGATCATGTATATTAATTTCTATTTAATTCATCTGCAAACTTGGAAATTTCTGTTGCCATTTTCATATCATCTACTTAAAATACATATCTTGAACAAACATTTACGAATGTAAAAATTACACTTAAAAATTGTCTTTCTTCCAAAAGAAGTAAACTATAAATAAATACATATATTATACATGTTATACATGTATTAAATATGTGCTGTATTTTATTTTTAACTTCCTCTTGATGTCCTTGTTTTCAATTTATTCTTCTTCATTAATACAGATTAGATTAGTAATAATTTGCTGTCCTGTTTCAAAAGGCTAAAGTACTCTGTGTTATATAGTCCACAAATCAACAAGGAGGGGAGGGGGGGGGGGCACTTCCAGATACCTTCACCTAAATACCCCTAGAGAATGATTTGACAAAACATTTTCACCCTACATAAATAAAACAATATAGAACAATAAAGAGTAATGGAACTATTTCAGGATTTTCATGAAGTCCATTCTAAATATTTCTGAATTAAAGGGGGATTTTTTTTTCTCAAAAATTCATAAGAACAAAGAACAAACAAAAAAAAGCAAATCTATATCTAGCAGTATCTAGATAAATTAATCAACAGTTTTATGCAATATATTTATTATTTACTGGCCACTTGATCTGCAGCTTTTGTTCAGATATCGTTTTTAATTTTTTTAATTTAATGACTTAGAAAACACCTGTATGGGCCTATGGGGCCAAAATTATATATAATGTGTTTTCCCATCCCCCTTTCCAACTTTGTGTGCAAAATATATTATGTAATTTCTTTCTTTAAAAATTATAATTTGGGTCAAAAATCAAATACATTTTTCTACATGCATACCTTTCAATGCAAATAGTTAAATAAAAGTGGAGTTGCTATGCAAAGGAAATAAAATTTTACTTATAATTGAGTCTCATTATCATTCTTACTTTGGCAAAACTTGTCAGTCATACTGGTACATGATGACTATTAAGAAATAATATACCAATTAACATTATTAATGAAGAAAGTGCATTTTTCAGTATTTATAGCTACTTATACATGTAACATCTGTTATTGTTATAAAGTCACACTGCAAGATTTGTGAGAATGTTTCTTAGATGTTTATCAAAAATAACTTTAATTATATACATGTATATAAATTATATTTTATAACATGTCTTGAAAGCTTTGAAAGTTAACAAATAAATTTGGGTTTTTAACTTGTTTCTCATAAGTTTTGAAAAATAAAACTAAAAAATGTACATTATATCTGTTATATAAATATAAATTGTGAAAAACATGGATATAACACATTTAAAATCTAGCTAATTCAATTAACACCACAAGTGTTAACTATTGAAATTACAACATTCATCACATAATCCCATTTTAAAAATTTTCACTTAATCTCTGATCAGATTAAAAGGTACAAATGTGTAGATTGTATATTGGTATATTGCTAAATACAAGAATTAGTTTGCATATAGTGTTGAAAGATTTAGACTGACTGACCTGTTTGAATTAAATATACACCAATTAAATACACCACTCCAGACATATGATTAATTAGGACAAAGTTTGTTGAGGTAAAATGAGTGAATCTAAAACATTTTTTCCTTCAAAATCTTTAAAAATATTTGCCATAGAAGTTTGAATGGGTTTATAAGGAAATGTCTTTTGACTCTTTTCTTTTTTAAGTTTTTCAGTAAGTTGAATATAGATTTAGATTAGGGCTGTTCTCTGGACAGGTGTCTGAGGAATCGTGGCAGAGATGTGGCTCAGTCGGATATATAGACTGATGCCTTCACTCAAAGTTCATTCCGAATATCAAGTTGAGCCCAAACTCAACAGACCTTAGGATTAGAATAAAAGGCTGCTGGGCTCCACATTTCTCTCTTCTTTTTTTTGAATTCATAATTTGGGAAAAACAAGTAACAAGAGTATTAGGTTGCTCATAATATATTGATACAACCCACTGTCCTAAAAATTGCATGAATATAAATATGTACCAAGACTCAACACAGAATAGAACAGAACAGAATATTTATTTCTGATTTAGAGCCCGAAATAGACAAATATGAAATGATTTACAATAATAAAGAGAGAACATGTTACTGAGTAGCTCATTTTAACAATGAACATGTAACAACCTTGCGATAGACCCAAACTTGGAGGAAAGAATGTCCTCATGCGAGATTCACTTTCATTTTTTGAACATACATGAAGATTCAGTTTTTGGTTATTATGAAAGCAACATTGAAAATGACCAGACAAGTGCCATATAATTTGGATTGAGGGAGGGGGGGGGGGGTGTCTGTCACACATGGAAAATGAGACCAAAAGGAATTGTAACAGTGTTTTTCCCTTGGATGTTTATAAGGAAAGTTTGTTACAAGTCCCTTTGGTAATTAAAACCCTGTCCTTTTGATCAAACCTTCTCAGCAGGGGACTGTGTAACAAATACTGTAAAAAAAAGTTTGTTTAGTTTAGATATTAAATACAGACCTTTAATATAATAGAGCTCGCCCACTTCAATTTGCTGTCGAAGACTTTTTAACACCGAGTAGAGGTTAGAATCTTTGGCTGACAGCTCCAAGTCGACTGTATCCTCGTCATACACAATGATTCGCTTAAACTCGCCATTCTCCAGCTTCCCCCTCTTCGTACAACACGGGACGATGTTCTCGAGGGCCACAAATCCCCCTGATCGGCGTTTCAGGATTGGGGGGCAATGAACGTTCGTTGCGGTGACAATATGGCCTTCGTTGTAGGAAATAAAGGGTCTGCTGTCCAGGATCAATATTTCTTCCTTGGCACTCTCTTGCCATTTTACCAGCATATCCACAGTTATTCCCTTTACTGCTAACGTGTCCATGCTAATGGAAGTTAGAATCCGACTTCACGCTTGCCAAGAATAGTATTCTCTATTATGCAAACGACTAGCTAAGCTGTATACTCATGAATGAAATGTCGTTTTGGTTGGTAAATGACCTTTCCATTGATAAGGGTTGTGAGAAATTTAAATGATTGCGCAATAAAATATAGTTCGTGAGATAATTGATATTCATGAGGAAAGATCTCACTTACTTTTCTTTAAGACTACTGTTTTATTTTCAGTGCTCTTTATCATATGTTCACCTAATTTCTTTTTAGATGCTTTTCTTTTTTCCTGATAATGAGCTATTACATCAATATCCCTACGCCGAACACATCTGACGTCACGTCGTATTTAGGAAGGTAGTGCGTAAACTCGTTAACAATTCATTCAATAAGGTCACGTGATAAACAAACCACGCCTTTATTCTCACACAGTTTATTATTACTCTACATCCGTATTAGTAATAACTATGTATAGTATGACGAAAGTAAAGACTAAATAAACAGTGTAGTACCATGTTACATGTTTGAATAACGCGCAATCAGCATAGTTTTTTAAATAAATATACAGATACAGGTATTATTTTCATACGCATCATGTTCACCATTACCATGATTAAGGTCTACTAGCTATTAGTATTAGTATTTCGGGACCTACACAACCCCTCCCCCCCTCCAAGATAGATCCTGAGCCCTTTCGATTTTTTTCCATTTTGTGAAATATTTTTATTATAACTCTATACTATCGGCCTAAGGTGTCCCTTTTCGGAGGTTAGGATGCCTGGGTTCCTCTCCTCCCCCTTTTTTTATTGAGGGGGGGGGGGGTCAAGAAGATTTTTTTCTTGTGGATTAAGGTCTTGTCTATTATTTTTCAATTTCTTGATCCATTACAACCCAGCATGTTTGTATAAAAATTAGGAAATGTGACACACCGAATTAGCATTTAGTAAATGGGTATCCCAATGTAATCTTTCTAAACTTCCCTCATGGAAATTTAAAAACGTTTTAATAGATTCTCTAATAATAATTTATTGGTACTTCTTGAGTAAACAATGAAGGTGATTCAAGGTTATTTTCTACGCAGCAGCTAAACAGCGTACAAAATTCCCACAGGGGGTAAGGAAGGGGAGGGGGGGGGGGGCAACATATTGATTTAGAGACATGAGGTTTTATTTATTTATTTTTTTTAACGAAAGATTAAAATAGAAAGTATCAGTTATTTACAGTGTAATAAATGATAGAGAACTACTTGAACCATGCAATATTTATCGCATTTAGTTTGATGAAAGAGGCAGTGTCTTGATGAAAATTGTGTGAATATTTTTTTTTCATTTCTTTATTTTTATTTATTTATTTGTTTTTTTTAAAGTCAGATCCGAACCCTTATGATAAATATACATGTTTCATTGATACCAGTGATTAAATTCTATATTTGTCTGTGAATATAGGTGAACAGTTTGACACATGTATAGTGATTGCACTAGTAAATTTTTGGTTGTTGATCCTACATGACGTAAGCATTCTAAACATGTCTATATATGGAGTAAACCATTTTATGCCCTTTGAACCCTATTTTGACATGCTACAATACACCATGACATTTAAAAACGATTATGTATACGTGGGCACAATGTGTTTTGGTTACAAATGTTTAAATTTATACATCGGTGTCCTTGTGTCGCATTACATTTTCAAAAATCAGGGAATTCCTTTTACCTATATATAGATAATTTAGGATAGAATAAAGGTAGGGTTGATTTAGACACACTAGTTCCGCTTATTTGCATTTGATTATTTTTTAAAAATTGTGTCGACTGTGTCAATTTCAAAAATAGGCGTTTTCTATGGGTTTATGATAATGAGGGTCGAAAGGAAGGGATCCAAAATTTCCCTTGCAGGAGCTGAGGAGAAAATCTTAGAATTTAACATTTATAAAATTAGTTGTAATCGCAGATTCTGACTATTTTGCCCTGGTAAATGTCTTTTCCTAATTGTGACACAGATGTCTGCATAAAGTTTCCTGTGTTAATTATCCGAATAAGAAGTTCTTATCAATTCTGCATTTTACCTCCACCTATGGTAAATTCAAAATTTTTACAACATGATAAGGCGCCCACTTATTCGTCTATACTTTGATGTGCATGTAATAGACTTCTGTCCTATTTGCATTTAAGTTCATGCGAACTACAAATGTAGACATGTCTGAATTTAGCAGTTAAGGATAACTAACACAAACAAACTTTTTGCAGAAATCAGCATTATTTCTCTAAGAATAATATTCAAATAGGTAACCTGAATGATATTTTCTGGGTAATGTGAGAGAATTTTGTAAGATTTTGTCACAATGTCAAAAATATGTGCAAAATTTTGTATAGAATTACATAGAAAACGATACAAAGTTGCTTATCTAAGCACCAAAGAAAACTTACGATTTCTTTATATTATAGGGATTGATTATTTATGTCATTTCCGTTCAAAATCAGTCCAGAAACTTATATCAATCGATATCCATGCATTGATTTTTTGTTTGTGGAATGTACCCTTAAATGTGTTCCATTGTTTAGGATATATACATTATACATTATATTATCGTATTCATATGATACATTCTTTTAATTTCTCTTGAGTGAGTCCTCAACCCTACCTCACCTATCATAAGTCAATTTCATTCCAGGGGCCCATTTTACAAAAGAACTTACGGCTAAGACCAAAAGCTTTAGTTAATTGTAAAATCTTGCAAAATTTATGTTTCTGTTAATAATTGTTTTCATAGAAATATCTTCCCAACTTCTTTTTAAAACGGTTTGGACTATTTTCAAATTAACGTAAAAAAAAAAAAAGAGTTACTCGCAAAATTACGTTTTGGTGTTAGTCGTAAGTTCTTTTGTAAAACGGGGCTCTGATCCAGATATTGTACAAGAGATTTTTTTAATACATCATAATACATACTGTCAAATTCCCTTGGGGGGGGGGGGGGGGTAGAAATGTCAGTCAAAATTGCTAATCTAAACCAGTAGCTATGTATGGAACCTCTGATTTGACTGCTCTGAAATGGTAAAATTTTTAATAGATTTCACTGAACACTTAATCGAAATGCGTCAATAGGAAATTTTATTACATTTTCAACAGTGAAATACTGTGATTTATTTATTGAATAAAAGTGATATTCTCTTACAGTGTGAAAGGATACCAAAAATGATATTCTCTCACAGTGTGAAAGGATATCAAAGTAAGTAAAAAATAATTTCTGGCCTTTCATAAGATAGAGATAGTAACTAAGCATCTTGATAGAGCTAAAACTGCAAATTTCTTCCTAAATATGTTGCTATTTAAAATCCATGCTATGTAATGTTTTCAATCTGACACACAACTTCTAAGCTATGACGTCTCAACCGCTCAACTATGACGTCAAGCCTATGACACTGTGTTAAGAAAAGACAGAGGCAAAGGGAAAATCAAAGAAAATGTAATAAACAGAAAATTCAATGTTTTGTAGATGAATATGGAATTTATTTCACTCGTGAGACAGGATTTTTTTTTATATTTTCACTCGTGCTTCGCACTCGTGAAAATATCAAAAAATCCTGTCCCACCCGTGAAATAAATTCCATATTCATCTACAAAACATTGAATATCCTCTATATATTTTACCCCATGGATCATTAAAATGGAAAACTGTTGACCCCGTCTTCCTGTCCAAACAGAAGATTATGGCACAAGACTAAGTTGGTGCACAAGAATCTATGAATTTTATCGACATTTTCAATATATAAACTGAGTATACGTCATATAAATTTATTTATTACATACTAAGTAATAAATACATGTGTACTACATTTTGTAGTTTTTTAGTAACTAGATTTTTATGAAAATATTTTTTCTTTTTTCAGGTTGTAAGACTATAATACAAAAAAGTGTATCATGATATTTACTTATCATCGTATTGCGAAAATATTCTTGAAAAGTAATTTGCTCAATGTTACATGTAGGCGCTTTGAATTCTAGAATACATACAAATCTTTATTTTAAGTTAAAGTAATGTAGAATATTAATAGACGTTTTTCCCTTCTGATATATTCAGATCAAACGAGACGCTTCGCGTCTCGTTTGATCTGATGATCCGCGCCTGTCAACTCGACGTGATACGGCTCTTCGGATCAAGTTACTATTATAATAATATATATTTATTTATTTATCAGGTAATAATCAGATGATTCAGGTATATTAAAAGGAAAAAAAAAGAGAATGTCTAAATATTGAAATACCTTTGGTAAAAATATATAAAGTTTGAAATATACATGTATTTATGCGAGGAGGAAACCGCTTCTAAGATTCTTATGTATCAATGCTTTCACAAAGCCAAAGATTGAAATATTTACGGAAGCGTATTAGGGCCGCAGCAGTATCTTTTTTTAATTTGTTTAAATAAATTATCAATTTGTTTTAACAAATTAACAATTTGATATAACAGATTAGTAATTTGTTATAACAGATTAGTAATTTGTAATAACAAATTACTAATTTGTTATAACAAATTAATAATTGGATATAACAAATTAGTAATTTGTTATAACAGATTAGTAATTTGTTATAACAAATTATCAATTTGATATAACAAATTATCAATTTGTTATAACAAATTATCAATTTGTTATAACAAACTAATAATTTGATATAACAGATTAGTAATTTGTTTTAACAAATTACTAATTTGTTATAACAAAGTATTAATTTGTCATAACAAATTAGTAATTTGATATAACAAATTATTAATTTGTTATAACAAACTACTATTTTTGATAAAGTGAAGGTGTATACAGATCTATGGAAGCCAGATCAGATCAGAAATCTTATTATAAGTTGGATTTTTGAAAACAATAAATATATATTAAGCTCAGCAGCTACAGCTTTTTGGCTAATATGTTAAACTGGATTTACATCTTTTAGCACTTAGAGTTTTCACTGTCAAACATTATTGTTATAAAGATACAATGTATCAAATTCTTTGGTTCCTAATTGCTTATTCTTAGGAGCTCTAATTGAATTCTGTCCTTCTGTGCCCCCCTCCCCTCCCTCCCTCGATTCACTTTATACATGTACCAAATGATGATCTACTTTACGTACTGCTTTTCAGTTTTTAAATGTACCATTAATTTTATGCATGTATGTACTTAGACAAATGGAGAGAGTATTATAGGCATTTATGCCTACTGTTCAATCCAGTTTATGTATAATTAATACATTTTAAACTAAACCACCGTTCCTAATACAAAAACCTGAATCTGCTCCTCTGGTGAACCTCCTTGGCCCCAATTTACATGGGGGCAATAAGGGCAACATTGACAAAAATGAATTTGTAGATAAATTATCACAGAAAAAATGATAAACACTCTGTAATAACCTTCTCTGAAAACGAAAATAAACAATATTCTTGAGTGGGTAGTACTTGCTAAAATTTGGAATCAGATACCTTGTGTTATTTTTTCATGTATGTATGTAATTTTTATAATCAAAATACGTGCCTTTTGGAATTCTTTTTGCTATTCTTTTAATTGTCTATCAGAGACATTTATTCCAAGAAACAGACTCAAAAAGAACAAAAAGAAAGCAACAACAATAAAACAAAACAAAATTTTTAAAAAACCCTGCAATTTCGGTAAGAATAAAACCAAAAATAAAGTGCTTTAATCAGAGTTGCTAATTGATCTAAATCCATATTAATAATATACTGATCAAAAGCTCTTCAAAGCTTATGCTTTACGTTTACATAAAACCAAATTAAAATAAGATTTCTGATCTGATCTGGCTTCCGTAGATCTGTATACACCTTCATATTTTGTCAAAAATAGTAATTTGTTATAACAAATTGCTAATTTGTTATAAGTTATAACAAATTACTAATTTGTTATATCAAATTACTAATTTGTTATATCAAATTAATAATCTGTTAAAACAAATTATTAATGTTATATCAAATTAGTAATCTGTTATAACAAATTAATAATTTGTTATAACAAATTAATAATTTGATATATCAAATTGATAATTTGTTATATATCAAATTATTAATTTGTTATAACAAATTACTAATCTGTTAAAACAAATTAGTAATCTGTTATAACAAATTAGTCATTTGTTTTAACAAATTAATAATTTGTTATAACATATTGATAATTTGTTATAACAAATTGATAATTTGTTATAACAAATTAGTAATTTGTTAAAACAAATTAATAAAAGATACTGCTGCGGCCCTAATACGCTTCCGTAAATATTGCAGTTTTTCAAAATGACAAGAACGAACAAATATGAAAGGATACCGGAAATCCAATTAACAGCAGAAAAACAGCTGATGAACAGCTGATGGTTCCGAGTGTCACGATATGCATTATATAGGGATAGTGTACGTTGTAATTTCACAGCATTCCCTTTATTATCTTGGAATTCTCGCTGAATTATGACTGTGATAACCCACACGATATATACGATATACATACTTCGAAAGTGATAAGGCAACACATTATCCGTTTTACAAAATGATTTACGACCACAGTTATTAGGTAAATGCAGTTTACATGCGTCTATATACTAAGAAGTGTAAATTTTTAACATAGTACATACAAATTTTATTCATAGCGTGGAAATGTAATTTTTGCAATGCGTTCACATGCACAAGCAAACTGGGTGCATGTCAATTCCTTGTTCTCCCCCAAGTGCTTACAAGAAAATTAATTATGTTTCTTCACCAATTTATGCAGTCCCCCTTCTCTTCCCCATTTCTTGCTAAAACGCTACATTATACAAGTATTGCTGTTTTTAGGTCGATACGACGATTTAGCAACCTCAGGAATACTGTATTCACCGAGCCCTCAGTGGCTAAAATATCGTATTGACTGAAAAAAACCCTGCAATACTTGTTTTATCATATGATTTTATAATTAGATGATACAAATTCGTTAAGAAAAAACATGACATCTTTCTTGATTGTTTACAATTGTAGAAGTCCTTGCCAAGCACAGCTAGAAAGGGGTGTTAATATAATCATCGCCAGATGTATTAATTTGTAATTTCTTGTAGAACAAATGATTGTCAGACATGCAGCATTCATTTTGAGAAGCTTAAAAGGGGGGGGGGTGACATCTGAGAGAGAGAGAGAGAGAGAGAGAAAAGAATTCTGCAAACTCCAAAATCTTTTGTGTGTGTGTGTTTGTGTGATTTGAATATAGATTAAAAAAAAAAGAAGCAGAAAGAAGGTGAAATAACTTTTCATAATTAATTGAATCATTATGGAAATTCTTAATCTATTTTTAGTCCAATGTAGAAAAAAATATCCGTACATTCACCTAGAAGATCACGCGCAGGTGAACATAATTAGTATTTTTTCTACAGTGTTGGATCTCAGTCAATCAAAGAGTTAGAATTATTTATTTCATATGATAAAATAAAGATGTAGTATATCTGAGTGCCCCCCCCCCCCCCCCGCACACACACTTTTTGTTGCAGTATAGTCAAATCGGGGTAAAGTGGTAATGTATGAATAAAAACTAATTTACAATAGCATTTAATACTACATTTGTATTTCACAATTATTGTTGAAAAATTCAATGAAATATAAAATACGTGCATTTAGGTTTTATCTGTAATACTTTCAAATTTAAATTAAAATCGGCTCTAAGGTACTTTCGAGAGGGTTAGAGCTCTCGTAAAGTTACTAAAAATCGTAAGGTTTCTCTTAGATGAAAATTAATCGTAAGATTTTTGTGAAAAGGATTTCTGAATTTTAAAAATTTAAATCAAAATAAGACAGTAAGTGAAAATACCAAAATAAAATGGAATTAAGAAATTTAAAAAAAAATGGGAAAATTAAAATTTAAAATCTGTTTTAGGTTTCTTTCCTTTTGAAACAAAATTGACAAAAATATACATGATCATTAGTTTAATTTAAAAAGAATACAATGCAAGAACATGTATAATTCATGAGTAGTATATTAATATGCTAAAATATAACTATATTTTTCAAAATTTAAATACTTCCAAAATGCTAAAAGCAAAAAGTAAATAAATAAATGATAAAAAAAAGTTCTGTTAAAAAAATAATAATTTAAAAAAAAAATGATCAAATAAAATTTAAACAAAGCCGCCTTGGTAAGACTTCATCCAGGGTGAGTCTAAATGCCGACGGGACAACTTTTTGGCCTAGTTCGGTTGAAGAAGGAATCTCGATAGGTGGTGTTGAAATACATTGTTTTATCATCATTCAAGTTTCGGTGTTCAGAAGATTTGTGGCATAAACTCGGACGTTCAGTCTGCACACCTGAAAAATAAAAATAGATCATATCTATTTTGAATTTTTTCTTCTGATAATTTTTTTTTTTTTTTTTTTTTTTATTAAGTTCATAGACTTATTTTCATAAATCAGTAACAATAATACCGACTCTGAACGCTGCGTTGGGTGTTTTCTTAAAGGCCCAATATATTCTGCACATTTTTATAGCAATTCTCTGTAACCACTTCAACTTCTTTGCCACGCATGGTCACCAATTTTCATGAAACTTTGCCCATTATTAAAACTTGACACCAGAAACATATATCAAATAAAATTTCGTTGCTATGTGTCTTGGTTGCCATGGTAACAGCCAGAAAAGTTGAAAAAAATTGAGATTTTCAGCTACTTTGAATCTTTATTAAGCCTTAATAAAGACTAAGAAAAACAAAAACTATTCTCACAAAAACATGACACCTTGTCGCCACTTATGCTATAAATAAACTATTTAGAATTTATCTCTAAGTAAGTGGTAACCATGGGTACATTTGGAATACATTTTAGATGCTGAAAAATGCTGAAAACTGCTCAATATTCACTTAATGATAGATGTTACATGATCAAACTCAATCAACAATCTAAGAAAAACAATAAAAATATTTGACCTTAAGTAATTAGATATTGGCAATATTATTCTAAAAATAACTTTCATGGTTGCCATGGTAACGCAGTGTAACCATGCAAAATCTGTTGCTAAGATTGGGTTAATGCTACTATCTTGAGGAAAAACAATGGAATTCCTGACTGGCACATATACATCCTTAGGACCCTGCAACACCAACAACATAAGAAATATTGGGATTAATTGTTACTTTGCAGTGTAACCATGGAAACAACGTACCAGTTGTTTAAAGTGATATTTTTTTGCAGCTTTAGGAATTTACTTAGCTTTTAATCAAGAAACATATTATTTGACTCACCTTGAATTGTACTTATCTGGTAGAACTAAAGTTGAATATCATATATTGATAAAGTTTGTTGAAAAATACAACACTGTTGCTATTGTTACCAAGAAGGGAAAATGTTCGATTTTGTTAATTTTATATCAATATTAAATCCTATGTGCCAGCTTTTTGCATCCAGTTAGAGATTGGGTGGTAGTCAAAATTGAAAGTCGGGCTAGTTGTTCATATATATCAATCATAAAAGTTTTGGGAATCTACATACAAGGGTACGTATCCAAACAAACAAAATATTTTTCAGATTTTTATGCATATTTTTTCGGTTAATTTCCATAGCAACGCTCTATTTAAAGAATTGAATTTGAATTTTTTGAAATGTGAAAATTATGGTCACACCAGCACCTTTAAAAAAATATCATCAGTTATATCAGTTATATAGAAATATTCTTTTTAAAAAGATAGGATAAGATTAAAACACTATATAAGAAAGTAAATTTAAAATAACTTTGTGGTATTAAAACCATGGCAACCATTGCCAACCTATAAAAAATATATTTCGTCCTTGGTATATGTTACAAGGATCTCTTGTCTATTATTTGCTTGCATTTCAACCTATAATTGTTTTTATTCTTAAGTGTATGACTTTATAAAAAAAAAAATGATTTACCAAACATGTTTATCATGCATTTAAGACATAAGGCCTTCAACTTTCAGCAACAGTCATTGCCACATTGCTTTGCTGCAAACGTTAACTGTGGGACTCTGAACATGTTGAAAAATGCCATTTTTTCAAACTTTAGGACATGTTGCTATGGTAACCATGACACGTAGCAACCAATTTTTGCCTGATTTGAGTTTAGGGTATCAAAGACTTTTATCATAGAGAGTTTGTAGAAATTCTGAGACTATGCGTGCCACAGCTCCTATATAAAAGTTAAAGTCATTACAGAGAATGGCTCTTAAAATGTACCGATTCGGCGATTGAACAATTTTCAGAAAGCAACTTTTATTTCATACCTCTGAAGTGTAACCTCTGAATTGACTGGAAATCCATTTCGCCGGCGGTAGGTACATAGAGTTGTTTTATTTGATATGTTTTGGCCGGAAGTGCACCTTTCCACGCTACATAATGCCCCTGATATGTGGTACATGGATGCTGATCGCCATCCCCTCCTTCATGTTTTATGATGTCAGTTCCGGTTTTTGGTTTTATAGGCATTATTCTTTCCACAAGACTTTTGGGATTTTCAAAATCAGCCTGAATTAACATAATAAATTAAGAAACATTCGGGGTATAGAAGCACAATACTTTGATTTTATCTTTACTTTGAATCACATTCAAAGTGCTTCCCACTCGTGAAAATATAAAAAAAAAAATCGATATCCTGTTCCACTTTTGAAATAAATTCCATATCCAACTACAAAACACTGAATATCCTCTATTTATATAATGGATAAGTTCACAGACATGTCATAAGAGATGATTTATGAAATATGAAGGGGGGGGGGGGGATTAGTCATGATCATAGTAAAATTATGCAAATACGTACCATATATGTGCTAGAAAAAGGCATCCCTCCCAGAGGTCTGTGGTATTCTGGCTTGATGGCCCAGGTGGGTTTCTCAATGGGGATCACCGGCCACGCTTTGTATGTTGTGTTCTGGGTGGTTCTGCCATCGAAGGGACCTAAATCGTAGTGATTATTAGAGGTAGGAGGTTTACAGATTGGCTGACGGGGCCCGCACGAGTGTTTGACGTAATCCGCCGTATAAGTAGTCATTCCATTGAAGGGGGCGTACTGCATTCTCCTTCCGTGAACCGCGATCTTAGTTGAGACGGCTTCTGTTTTTGGTGGTTCTAAAAATAAAATAAATGTTATTCTAGAATGATTTGAGTTTTTTTTTTTAAAAAAGAAAGTTTGTCTTTGAAGGATCATGGATAAAAAACACACAATTTGTTAGATCTTTTCCAATAAAAAAAAATCCTCTACGTATTATCATTCCATTTTTGTAATGGATAATAAAGATTCGAGCATGTCATAACATAATGCTGTATACTAGTAAGTTTTTATCGCCGAGTAATATTCTGTCTTTAAAGAAATGTATTTTAACCATAACTGTAAGGAAGGGGGGGGGGGGTAGATCAGGAGCGCGGATCTTGCCACTGTGACTGCACGTGTATTTGTACAAAAGACCACTTACTACACTGTTGTAACCACTGATGATATATGTACCAAAGTGGTATCTGTATACATTAATGATATAACGGAATGCGCCGATCCAGGAAATTCTTCGGAAGGGAGGGGTGGAGGCGAAAAAACTATTTATTGGGTGGGGTGGGTGTACGACAAGTTGCTTCCTTTACAAATTTGATAACTTTGAAATTCCCAGAGAGGGTCCGGTCCCTCCCGAACACCCTTCCTCCCGGATCCGCGCATGTTTACAATGGCATCATCAATCAACTATAAACTGAAAACCAGCCGGATAGTACAAAATATACCATTGATACAAATTACTTCATTAATCAATGAGTCATGTAGTAATGATACCCACTAAATATACAGTGTAATACAAAATTCAGTCCACTAATGGGGTAAATGATGCAAATGTATCATAACGTGCAGCATGCAAATTCATTCATTAATACAAAATTATGTCGATAGTGGATTTTACAGTACATGTATACTGTCAGTGGGTAAACTATATGTCAGCCCCTTCAGTCATATACTGACCTACAACCGGATCTGTGACTTTATTCTCGGGCTTTGCGTCACTTTCTGTACGAATAGGTTCCTTCTCTTTCGGTGCTTCATCAACTTTCTTTGCATCTCCTTCACCTGAAGGTTTTTCCTACATTGGTCAATAGAAATAAACAAAAATTAATAAACGTAAAATTTATACCTCTGTAGCTATTTTGACGATAAAATTAAGGAAAATTGATTTGGGTAATGTTTAGTTTTGGAGAAAACCCGGTAATGAATATTAAATTTAGATTTCAGAATTCAGATATCAGAAAGTAGGCACGATATGCTATATTGAAGTTCATTTCTTTCTGACAAGTTATCCTAACAAAAAAATTCTTAGAAGTCGTAAGTCGGAAAAAGGGGGGGGGGGACAACATTCATACTTCAGGTGCCTATGAGACAAATATGATGCCACTTAAGGAGTGTTTTTAAGTTTTGTGTGAGTTATTGGTGTGTAAATCACACAGACTTGTCACGTAGGCATATTTCATGAAGCGCGCTAGCGCTTCATGAAAAATATGCCTACGTGCAAGTCTGTGTGATTTACACACCAATAATTCACACTAAACTTAAAAACATTCTTCATATTTACATTTTACAAGTTCAAAAGCAACAATATTATGCTCAATATTTGAATTTCTTGCTGCCTTATATCGTTACATTTTTATTTACGTCTCTGTAGCCTCATTGTGACGTCACTTTACCGCGAGTTTCACCGTGTATATTTCTACGCGTGAGTATACACAGAAATGAACTTCAAATCAATTGCACAGTTGGCTTAGTAGAAAAACATAGCAAATGTAAATATTTTAGTTTGAAATTGAACATTTTGTGAAGGAAATGAATTCGTTGATCTTACCAAAACATGAAAACACGAATATTAGTGATATTGGAGTATAATATTTGATACATGAAAATTTTGGATGATGAAAATCTCCAAATGTGAACTGCTTACTCACTGGAATGACGATTTCGTACTGCGTTCGCGGAGGTTCTTTTGGTTTAGCGCTTGCCGGACGGCAGCTTTTGGCGACATCTTTATCAAAGCACTGATAGGACAAGCTGTAATTGGTCTGGTCAGAGAATTTGGCACTTGATGGGCGGTACGCTTGTATCGGCTTGAAGCTTTCCATTTTGAAGGCATTTTTGTCCTACAGAATTATTAGGATCAAGTGTAATATTTTCAAATATTATACTTTCATGTAAATTAGTTGAATCTGATTCGTCGAGAAACATTTGTTAAAAAACACTATTACCCGCTGAATAATGAAGCCACGCCCACCAGCGTAGCAACAGTTAACATTGCTTGACGACGGGTGTTATTCCAAAAAAATATTGACTGCGCAGAATTCATGCGCGCAAGGTTCACTGTAATATGTATTTGAATAAAACATTCAGTATAATACAATAAATACTGCATGTAGTTGAGTGTAACATTGAAAATTTTCACCCCTCGAAAACCATTGTCAACCTCGGCTGCGCCTCGGTTGACAATGGTTTTCTTGGGGTGAAAATTTTCAATGTTACACTCAACTACATGCAGTATTTATATAATGCGATTCAAACAAGACTATAATTTTTGGAAAATATTAATACGTATAATTATTATATCATGAGTACGAAACCAGCTGCATATTTTCTTCATTAAATACACGTTGTCATCAATTGTGAGTTGACCATTTTCTTTTTGGAAAGGCCGTGGGGTGGATAAATGGAACACCTGTATTCAAATACTAGATGAACATTTTTGGATACAAACAATTTCAGAATAACATAAAACCATATCTTCAAATTTCTCAAAAGTGTCTATTAATTAGGTATTTCCATTCTCACAATTTTATGGGTTCAAAGTAAAAAAAAAAAACGGCATTTATTTTCACTGAATATAGTTTGAATTAATAAATAATCGCAAAAAATATACAGGTTGCCATATTTTTAAGATGTAAGGCATAAATAAACAGAAACATATGTCAGCATTAAAAAATCGTACTTTTTTAGTAAATAGTATTATAAAAATTCGGTAAAAACTTCAAAGACATAATTGCGATGCTGATAGTTCCAAAATAATTGCCACTTTATAAGTATGTTTGAATTGTGAATATTAGCGAAATCATTTTACATTAGATGTACAATAAGGAAAGATACGTTAGAAGGAGTTATAGCCCTTAGCAACATTTTATTGGTTAAATAAAGAAAATAATCTTTTCTTTTTTAATTCTTTTACCAAACAGTATTTGTTATTACACCTATTGAAAAGCATTCTTCCAAAATATGTATTTCTATGGGGTATGAATTTAAAATAATTTAATTCTGATCGTAACGCGCCATTTGATTGAATAAAAAAAATACTTTATATCGTATAAATTGGGTTGCCTACGTCACAATGACTTGCGTCAAAAACGTATCGATCCGCCTGACGTTAAATTCAAATTTTGTACAATTTGAAGTCGTTTTTTAAGGGAATCATCTTTTTTTTTCTTACACTAAATGAATGAAAAATAAATTATAAGGAATGAATTTAATAGCTACCCAATTTATACGGTATAAAGTGGGCTGGAACAGTTAACGCTTTTTTATAAAGCGTAAACTGCCTCAACTCACTTTATACCGTATAAATTGGGTAGCTATTAAATTCATTCCTTAATAAATGACAGTTTTTGCAAAACCTATGACATCACAGGAGGGTGGAAATACCTTAAACAGAAAAATATTTTAAAAAGATACACAGAAGAAACATTATTTCTGAGGCTCAGTATTAAGTGATACATGTACATTAAAAAGGTATCAATTCTTTTAAATATTAAGGCCCAGAAAAAAGTAGCTTTTTGGATATTTTTGAGCAATTCTGTTTATTTGTTTCTGTGATCGGCTTCGGGCAATCACAGCTGATTCCACATGATGCATTCGGTAAATGTAACCATTCGAGCACATGGTTTTGTTGTTTGGTACTTTGTTTGCTGAGCACTACCAGCTTCATGAAAATTTCTCGTAACATATTATGTACTTAGGAGCTTTTTAAATTTTTTTTCTTTGAGACGTAAGCAAATATACAGTTATAGTGCAGACAAAATTAAGTTTTCTCTATGTGCGCAAGAATTTCACTCGCTTCCTTTACACCCTTTCTGAGAAAAGTTGATTCGTTCATTAGTGTTTCGAGTAAAACTAACTCGCACTTTACTTTTAGTTGTTAGAAGAGTTTGTGAGAGAAAATTTGTTAGCTTTTGATGTTCTTTAATGTTCATTGTAGTCTGTGCTATTACTTACTCCACAAGTGTAACTTATGGTTAATATCTTCCCCCGATCATTTCCTTTAAAGGAATAATTCGGGATTTTGTGGTTGTTTCTTTTTTTTTCAAATTTTAATTTAAATTGTATTTTATTGCAAATTTATAGTAATGATAACAAACATATACAGTATAGGAAATATCTAAAAGGATCCGGAGACAAGTTATGAAACTTATAAATATCAATCCATCTCCTAGAATATTTGAGGATGATATAATAGATAGACCTTTATGAAGTGGTACAAAAATAAATACAGTTTAGACTGTTTGTAATATAACGGGAAAGTATAGAACAAGATTTTGTTTTTAATTTGATTATGTATTATATGATTTATGAATCTTATTTTTATTTGTATTCTATGATCAAGTGGAATTTTTTTTTTATCTAAATCGAATGCTATAAAAATTCTTTTGCTTATAAATGAGGGGAAAACATTTATCTGATACGGACCTCGTGAAATACATAATCCTTCTGATACGTTGTCAGCATCAACTTCGACAATTTTCCGTTATCCATTTTGTTAGATACCGGTCTGACGCAGTTGCGCGGTCGCTGGAATGGGTACTTTCTGTAAGCCTACCAATAAATAAAAAGATAAATAAAGAAAGACGTCTCAATAAAGAAATAAATAAATGAAAAGAAAGAAAATTTGGAGAAAAAGAAAAAAAACTTCATGGTGGTAATAAGAGTTGTCGATCGTTTGCTTAAAATGTTAAGAATATATGCTACAAACAAAAAATAGAATATTTTGGTTGTAAATGGTGCATATCACAAATCTCTTAGCTCTCTATGATGTTCAAATTTTTATCCTTTCTGCCGCCACCTTTATAAATATATACAATATTTTTGTCACTTTGAAGGACATTATTATGAAACTGAGTGAAAATGAAATTTTATGAGGCTATTTTTTCCCATTTTACTTAAATAAACATTCATTAAGTTCATTTTTTCACAATTTTGGAAGAAAAGTTTGTTTGAAACTTCTGGCCTAAATCTCACACAGGAGAAAGGGGAGGTGTGTGGGTCGAAGCTTAAATTGAGGGAGGACCGTGACATGGAAACATGGAATTTATGTATTTCATAACTTCAAATTATATGCCTATTTAAACTGTTTAATATATTGCCTGGCCTTGAGTGACCAAAAATAATTAAAAATTTAATTATGCATGTGAAGTTGAATAATCTTATATATATATTTTCCATACCTATTTATATATTTAAAAGCACTAAGTCCTAATACATGTATAAAATGAGAGGTGAGTGCCCCACCCTCTCCTACCCCCACTCACGGTATATTCCTTCATTGATGCAATGTTGAATTATTATAGGTTACTAACGGCTTGATGCTCAAACATTTCCCGAGTAGTGAGTATATTGACCCCCCCCCCTTTCTTCTGCCCCACTACCCTGGGATCTTCCTTTGATATCATATTCCTCATTATAATTAAATCTTTAATGGCTATGGGTTACTTACGGCTTGATATTCGGACATTCCCTCCGTCTTACTCATAAGATGTAACCGCCTCGCCAGTCTGTTGGTTGGATCATACTGGGGGGCTCCAGTCTTCACATCGCTATGGCATCCGTAAATATAATTAACAAATAAAACTCAATTTCAGAGGAAATTTGAAGGTGTGTTTTAGTAGCATGTATATTGCTATAAATAATGTTATAAGATTGTACGTTTGAGAAAAAAAAAAATTAAATCAAAGCACTTAATCGTTTGTTGATGGCAACTATTTACCCATCCATGAAGTGGGTTTAATTCATATAAATTTACAAATGCATATTCTACCTAAAAATATTGTCAAAAATAAATAGAAGATTAGAATTGCTTCTGTCAGTGATAAAATATGATAAAAATATGATAAAACCTTCAGCTAGACGCTTTTTCTCAAATATGACATAGACTTCAGTAAAACTTAAATAATAACAATGATAATCAAAAATATTCATTAATAATAATAATTAAAATAACTGTGACTTACCGTTTCTTTTCACTGTTAATAATTTTAGCGGGAGTAGCTGTCATCACGCGAAATAATAATTTTATTTTTATTTAAAAATTACATATGAAAATCTAACACGTTTAGCCTTCTAGTCAGCCATCTATGTTGTTACTACATAACCAAGACGACGTCAAATTAATTGTGACGTCATTCATATTACGTCATAATCGATAGTGTTTAATTTAACGCTAGATCTCTAAAAAATCAAGACAGCAGACAGACTATATACACTGTACATAGCTCTTTATGGGCGTTTTGAATATAATTTAGTACATCATTTCAAAATGGAAAACTAATGTATTTATAGTAATTCATATTTATAGTGCATGTATACAAATTAAAAAAAAAGCAGTCAAAAGATTTATCGGAACTGTGTTGAACATGTGCTTATTCAGTTCTGTCATTGATAGATATTCATGGAATCTTTAATTAGAACAAATACTCTCATGAAAGGAATGAGCATTCTAAATAACTGGAATAAGAACTCCTTTTTTAATTTTTTTTAAATCCATGAAGAAATATGAACATAATAATACCTAACGTAAAGTTTTGGACTATGTCACTCCGAAGTCCCCCCCCCCCCCCACCACCACCTCACTTTTCCTTAAGAGTGTGAAGTTGATCCTTTAAAAGAGTGCTAATTCTTACTCCTGATTGTTGAACTTTGAGGTATGTTTAAAATTGGGTCAAGGGTTTATATAGATAGAGGATGAAAGCAATACTTCTAGTAGCGGTAAGAAATATGAATTGTTTACTTCTTCTGTGTATTATTTCAGACAAAATGAGGCGTATTACACGGTTACATGGATCTAACATCTACACTGTACACGGTCTTATCTCTCTTTGGCGCGATTTTCGAAATAAACTGTTCAAATCCATGGCGTCCTGCAGACAACTAAACTGTTCAAATCCATGGCGTCCTGCAGACAACTAAACTGTTTCAAAAGTGTATCGGTAGTGAATGATTTATCAGTAATGATAAATAATAATTTAAATTTTAATTGAAGTTTAAGTATATGTTAAGCAACGTGTAAGGTATACGATCCATTAGATTTGTTTATATACGATGAAAAAGATAGGATGTGTTTTGATCATGTGTTTGTGTTGTTGTCCTCCGTTTTCGCGAAAGCGAGGGGACATCAAATCTCATTCGTCTGTCAGTCTGTCCGTCTTTCAGCCTGTCTGTCACAAAAACTTTAACCTTAGCCATTACTTTGGAATGGGAAAAGATAGGGTTTTCATATTTTGCTGGTACCTTTCCAAATATTTTGATCCCTGACCTTGACCTTGACGTTTGATGGACTTTTCAAAAAAAATTAACATTACTTTAACCTGAATTGATCATTACTTTTGAATGAGAAGACAGATGGCTTTCATATTTAACATGTGCAATACCTGTGACAAGATCTTTTCAAATATACGATGATTTTTTTACCCCGTGACCTTGACCTACGCTGAAGTGTGATCTATCTTCCAAAAAATTTAATAATGGTTATAACTTTTGAATTAGAGAAGATAGGACATGTGCATTACCTGTGACAAACGTTTCTGGATGTGCTACGATTTTTTTGTCCCTGTGACCTTGACCTTGAAGTTTGACCTTATTTTCAAAAAATTATCACTTCTGCGAACTTTTGAAGTAGAGAAGATAGGGCATTCATATTTGTCATGGGCATTACCTTTGACAAGACCTTTCCGAATGCACTCTGTTTTTTTTACCATGACCTTTTAACCTGCAGTCTTTTCCAATTTTTTTTAAAATTGGTAATAACTTCTGAATAATAGAAAAAAGGGCATTCAAATTTTATGTGTAAATTACCCAGGACAACACCTTTCAGACAAAACTATCATTTTTGAATTCATGACCTTAACCTATAAGTTTGACCTACTTGATATAAAAAAATTCTTTGGTCATAACTTTGCTCCTGAAGAGAAAGAACTTTCATATTTTTTCACATGTGCATTACTTGTGACAAGACCTTTATATTATATTGTATTATGATGTTGACCTCATGACCATGATCTTGGACTTTGATGCAGTTTTGAGAAGCTTAAATCTTTGCCGTAACTTTTTATTAATTCAACCTATATTTTTTTTGTACGATGGACAGACAAGACAGGACAAACAAACAAAGCAGTTACAATATGTCATAAATAATTGGATCCGAACCACTAAGACACCGAAAGCGGGGGACTACAATTCTTTGAATTTGCTTGTTATACATGTACATATACATGTATGTTATATGTAACTCGAGCTTGGTCCCGGTTTTTATTTTCTCTCTCTCTTCTTTTACATTAACTTTTGATAATTTTCATTTTTAAAGTTTTGTAGATGCTTACATTTTTATGTTTTCTTCCAATTTCAGTTTTGCTGTAAAGTGGCCCTCACAGGTAAGCTTCTATAAAAGTATAACAAAGTGATCTAATGCATGTAGATGTTAACTAAAGATAAATATTTAGTAAACTTGATCTCATTTAAGAGATAAGGGTTACGTTTATCTGGATAAGAACTTACCTAATTGTGCCCTAGATAATTCTGGTTTATGTCTCAGCCATGTGTCGTATTACTTGCAGAATTTGCCCACCCCCACAAGGGACTGGTTCAGATCAGGTCAAATCATAACTTTAAATTCAACTATCATAGACCGTTACGGTAGCTCAGTCGGTAGAGCGCTTGATCGGAAGGTCGTGGGTTCAAGCCCCGAGCCACTACAGACCTCAGTCTATGAAAATAGGTAGCAACTGTTCCTTTGCCAAGCGCTCGACGCTTTCAAGTGAAAGTTGCGGGTATTTCGAATGAGACCTTAAAAACTGTTGTCCAGTGTCAGGATATGCATTGGAATGAAAAAGATCCCTCACTGCTCAATGGCTCTGAGTAAAGGTCTAAATTTGAAGCCCTTCACATGTATATGGTGAAGGACTCTGTATGAGAGAAAAAGTCTCGAATGGGACGTTAATCAACAATCAACCAACAAACCTCTTCATATGTCTCCAAATCAAAAAATTCCAAAATTATTCATGGAAAATTGCACGTCGTAAAATATCTTCATAATATATAATATATATTGATGTATGTTTGACAGAAATGTTTAATTTGACTTGCCATTAATCATTCTTTGTTATAATATGTCTTTATTAGAATGTTCCACCCATTGTTACAATGTGAGTAGAATATTCAATTAAAATGCCAATATACAAGAACAACTGTTTATATGAAAAATAACCTCGCAATTTTTATACGGAAACTTTAGATAATATTTATCATATAATTAATCATTTTTTAACTTTCCTTGAAGCAGTCCAGGGATCCACTACACCAAATTACCAAGTGACTTTAACCCTTATTAATGGTATGTTCGGTTAAATAATTGTTCACAAATTTACACACCAGTATTGAGATTCATACTGAGTTTGAAAGAATATACACCTCCTTTTCACAATAAGCGGTTTCTTGCTTTCTGGGCTATACATTGTAGGTATTGATTATCCAAAACGACTCGATTTTCTTGACTCTCTCTCTCATTTATCATTTAGCTATCTTTCTGACTGAGGTGTAAGCATCCCCTTTGACCGGTCACGTTCGCCATAAGCTTTTTTATATCGATCAAGTAAAAGTCCATAGTCAGAATTAGTATGAAAAACAGAACTAAGAATTGCTATGCAATGAATTAGTCAAAATATGACCCAACGATAGATTGTATTTTCAAACAAGGTTATAATACCTACCATAGTTTTTTGCGAAATGCTTCCTTTAAACAAGATTGTAGAAAGCCTTGTAGCATTAACGTATTTGTCAATGTGCTGCGTCATATTCTTATGAAGCATAATTTATTTAAAAACTTACACAAACCTCCTGCTGTGGTCTTCAATTTGACATTTAACTATAGCGAATTTTTTTCTTATCAGTTAACAATATTTGATATATCGAAGCTTAACTTGAAAGTAAAGAAACTTCGGAGTTTGCCCCATCTGTTTTATATATGGATGTTTTACTGATTATAGACTTTACTGGCAACTAACAACTGAACTGTATGTTAAACAAGATGACCAGCCTTTCCATCTCGTCGACCTCTTCTTAAGTAGTAACATTCCCTTATCAACTGCATATAGTATTTAATACGTCTCGCAACTGATCCAGTACCCACAGCATGTTCAGAGTACGATCAATTTTTTTTAAAACTTAGGCAGGTTATTGGCAAATACGTTGAGGAAGTAGAGCTCGTTTACAACATTTTGCAAAAATAAGCTATTTATAATGACTTTGCATAAAAACCCTAAAGTTTGGTCGAATATTAAATGACATGATTCATATACCAATTGTAAGGACAATGTTTTCAAACTAATTATGACTATAGATACCTTCCTTTACCCAATTAATTCCGAAAGCTCACGGCGAGTATCACGGTGTGATTTTTGATAAAAACAATTTTAGTGACATGTTTTAGCTGACTTTGAAATATACTTTTAATTATCTGTTATTAATTTAAATATCACGAAAAACTTTAATTATGCTAATTACTATGTAACTCAAAAACGCGTCAATTTAATCAATTTACTCAACATGTCATGAGTTATTCTATCTAAGCCATCTGTCACTCATGCTCAAAATTGTGCTAATTGTCATTGTTAGGGTCTTCCGAGCTTCCTTCGGAAGACCCTACTGTTATTCTACTGTTTCTTATTATTATTTTATTTTTTTTTTCCCGCCGATTTTCAGCAGGCGATTTCTCGGAGACCTTTTGTCCGATTGCTATGAAACTTTCAGGGTAGATACAATGTATTATTGCCTAAAAACGGTTTTTTCAAATTTTTGATATATACCTCCGTTCATGAGTTATTGCCCTTTAATCGATATTTGGAGGGTCTCTTGTCCAGTAGAATTCTCAATAACGACACATGATATTTGCATGAAAACTGGAGAACTTGTAACTAATACATTGCAGATGCGCAGAACATTAAAATTGTAGGCTAATTTTTTGAAGTTTGGAAGCTATGTGACGGCAAGTTTTAGGAATTATTTTTCCATGAAATTTTGCTGCTTTTTGTTTAATAACTTTTAAACTGATAAAAATTTGGTAAGACATATAGAATGAAAGTTGTGTGTAATTACGAGAGCTTTCAGATAACATCAAGAAAA